GCACACTTTCTAGCCCAGGTTGGTCTCAAACTTGTGACGATCCTCCTGCCTCAGCCTCCTGAGTGCTGAAATTACAGGCATGCGCTACCATGTTTGGCTTTGGATGATTTATCACTGTTTTAACAAGCAATTTCTAGGGGCTGTAAGAAGGTGTGTTACATACATGTGTCAACTCCCCACAATGAATGTAATCATTATGTGCTGCAAATATGCACTAATAAAAAATAAAATTAAAAAAAAAAAAGAATCTATCCTACATAGCCACTAGCAGAAATGCAAAAAAGACAAGAAAAGATACTGTTGTACTGTCTGGAGTGAAAACTGTAAGCCATCTAAGTATTTATATGGTAATGAAGTATTGTATAGCCTTAAAGTGAAGAGGTGCACACATACAGGGAAAAATGCTCTGTGTGTGTGTGTGTGTGTATGTATGTACATGTATGTAGTTCGGGGGATCAAATCCAAGGGCTTTCTGTAATGTCTGATATTTTTAAGTGAACAGAGCAAGTTGCAGAATGATATATATATATATATACATATAGTTTAAAAGCAAATTTAACATGTATAAATATACATGTTCTAGTTTCATGTAATAAAGAGTTAATATATAAATATGCTCACGCACCAAACAAATCTGGAAAGAAACCCACCCAACTGCCAATAGTTACCATGTGGTAGAAAGAAGGGGGTTACATACACTTTCTATAGTATATACTGTGTGCTACTTGCATCCATTAAAATGGGTGTTTAAATATATTTTGTTTCTGGGCTGGGGATACAGCTCTTGCTAGAGCACTTCCCTGGCGTATGTCAAACCTGGGTTCAATCTTCAATAATACACACCCACGTGCCAACACACAAAGCATTGCTTTTATGAGAATAAAATATTCAGTGGAGAATTATGGGTTGTAGAAAGCTTCCATTTATGTAATGAAAAAAGAGAGGACTTACATATACACAAGAAACTAAAAATGGTTGTTAAGAAGACTGTAGCTACGGGTCAGGGTGGCTGGAAGATTTCTTTTTCAGATACATACCTATATATATGTGCACAAGTATCCCGTTAAAATTGTAGTCAACACAATGTGAAAGAAAATTACATGTATCTGAACATTATTACGTTTTTAATGATGTGGAGGCAATTTTTGTGGTGTAATAATGAAAAATGCAGAACAATTCTATATTCAATAGGAGTGAAACTATATGAAACTGAAGCCAAAATGTCATTACCAGTAAATGGTCGCCTTTAGATGATGTCATTTTCTCCTTTTACAATTCTTCCTATAAGCGTTACATTTCTAAATAAGATTTTAAAAAGGTAGTACCACCGTATATTTAACATTTAAAAGGTCCTGGCCAACTCCGTGCAAGCGGTGAGGAAACAACACCCTGCACCGGTGTACAGCAGCCAGGGCAGCAGGCTTTGGGATCCTCAAGGGGCAGACCCGTCCTTTCAGCACCCGCGCACTCAACCCAAGCAGCCGGAAAAAGCCACACGGACAGAGGCGGCGGTCAAACTTTGCCAGCTTAAGTCCACTGTCCCCATTTGCCGGGGTAAAGCTTGACTTTACAAAGCTTTAGATTCTAAATGTGTAATAACAGTCATCGTCACATTTCCCTCACAGAGCTGAGAGAGGGAAAAGATGAGACACAAAACGCGGCGTCCGCCATCTACTGAGCTTCCGGGAAACACTTCCTTTAAGGTGGGGGTCGCGCCCCCAGCCCCCGAAGCCCGGCAGCAGGGCCCCAGCCGCGGCCGCCCCAGCCCCCGTTTCCGGCCGAGAGGCGCCCGCTTCCGGCAGCCCCGCCTCGCCCCAGGCCTAGAGGGCCGCACCGCCCAGGTTCCGCCTTCCAGTCGGCTCGGGCCCAACGTGGGCAGGCCTATCCTCGCAAACTCCTCTCCTTGTTGCTCAGAGTCCCCCGCGAAGGACAGGCGGCCAGTGTGGGGTGCCGGGCAGCCGGCGGCCACATGCTCCCGGCGGACACTCACCATCTCCGGCTGATCCAGTAGCTCCGCGTCGCCAACACACAGCCCAGCACTGCACCTTCTGCGCCTGCGCGCAGCTCTGTCGCACCGAACTGCTTCGGCAGCCTATCAGGAGCCAGTGGAGGAAGCGGGGCGGGGGGAGAACTGATCTCGCAGCTCCGCCAGGGATCGCGGAGAATTTGCTCTTTTCTGTCCGAAAGTGAAAAGCAGAGGAACACTTAAAACTATGGAAAATTCCTAACTCCAGTTGTGCCGAAAAAAAAAAAAAAATGCTGGTTCTGGATTGCCGGAAGAAGCTTCACTCAACATTTAATCGAGATCTGAACTAGGTCTGGATACCCTGGGTGGAGGGTAGTGGCAGAGTGGAAGGCCGAGGGCGACGGTTGCAGAGGCCCTCTTTGCGCCCAGATTGAGCCAGAGGCGCGGAGCCAAAACGCGCAAAAGAGAGAGATCCTGAGGTTAGAGCTGGAGTCAGGTACGGCTGTGTTAGTTTACTGTTAATAAGTGTAGCAGTTATGTGGGGCATTAACAATGAGGAAAGCTTGATGAAGAACAAGAGCTCTGTACTGTCTTTGCAACAGCTCCATTAAGTCGTTATTTCAAAATAAAATTTTAAAAAAGGATTAGATACAAAGGAGTGACTACTGAATGCGGGAAACATTAGGAACACATCTAGCAAGGGAAAAGAAGTGCTACGGTAATGGCCTCAAAACACTGTAGAAGATAGTTACAGGAAGGGTCACCACTGCCATCTCACGTTCTGGAGAACTGCAATGAACGTAGTGAAGGGCCTGAAAAAGACTACAATGTCAGAAGCAAGAGAGAGAATGGCCAGTAATTCAGGACTGGAGCTGAGGTAGGAGAAAGGAGGGGCTGGAGCCAAGAATGGCTTTGATTGGTGACTTACAATATCTGGTGTTGCTCTTGTAATGGAGGAACCGCTAAGATTTCAAGTAGTGGAGAGACAGGATAGGCCTTCCACAGGTCACTGAGGCAGGGGACTGGTGAGGGGAGAATGGAACAGTGAAGTGAGGAGGCTGCCACAATCAACTACCTTAGGAATGCAGGGTGCAGGCAGCTCAAACGGAAGGGATTTAAAGTTTTGGAGACACATTTGATAGGTTTTGCTTTGGGATGGAACAAATACAGGTGTGGTGTTGGTTATTATCTAAGGGAAATCAGATAGAATGGGTCAGAGAAATCCAGGCAGAGGCAGGAGGTTTGCCATAACACCGGACAGGGTACACAGGGAATTCAAGTCTTTACATAGTGAAATCCTGCCTCAAAACACAGAAATAGAAGTAAGAAAAAAATAATGGCTGAAAATTCCCACAGGCCTCCCCTGTGCTTTGAGGAAATCCTCTTGCCCTTAGCTATTATTTGCTTAACTGAAACCCATTTACAAGGGACCAGCATTGTGGGGGGTCTATGTTGAAAACCCTCTTCTTGCCAACTAGGAAGACTCCCTGGGCTCTTCCCCCACAAATGTCTTAATCACAAAAGAGCCCTATAGATGCCAGAATTAACACGTGAAATGGGCTGCGAGTGGCAGCAGCTCCTGCTATAGTTATACAATGTGACACACATTTCTTAGAAGTCTGGAGGACAATAGCCAGTCAGCCACAGGGTCGCAGTTTGATGTGTTGCTGGGATTTGAGCTAATGGTCAGTACAGCTACCTATTTCCTATGTAAGGTTTCCTCATGCTCGGAGTGTGCTTGGATACGGACAGGACATCATCCCCTCGTTCTTAGCCAAACTGAAGCTAGAACTTTCTAGCTGTTTCCATGGGCCAGATTAAAAAGGATAGGGTTTACTACTCAGAACGGAGGCGCGATCTAGTTTCTATTGAATGAGCACATGAAAAACTCCACTTCCTATTCCTTTCTCCACTGGTTTCATTTTAGAGGAAAACAACATCATTTGGTTTTCTGATAAGGTGGCCTACAAAGCTGGTGAGCAGACCCGCCTTGTTGTACAGCAGTCTTGATAGACAGTAGATCTGTACTCAGCATTCACAGTTGGGGTCTTCCTGTCTTAGAACACTTGTCTCAGAAAAGCAATTCAGATGGAAATCCTCATATTTACCAGCGTCCCCTGCAAATGTCTTTATCAATACAGGTACCAAATCCAGTCTCCCTGCAGTAGCAGACAGGCTGTAATTTGCTACTTACAAAGCAGAGGTAAAAGTCTAGCTCAGTGACACAGAAGGCATTTCTGTAGATGGGGAACATCTTTTGACTCAAGACTAACAGAAAAGTGTGCAAATGAAGGACCAAAAATGTTTTAATTATAAACACAGTCTTACTTACATCCTTGAAGGAAATTCAAATGAGGCAACTCCCTGAAGGAACTGTATATTTGTAGTTACCTGAGTATTTGAAATTACAGTAGAAGAAAACAAAGATACTCCAATACAGTAACATACAATCCAGTGCTGCCATTTTTAGTTAATAATGAAAGTACACATACAAACAATTTTATCATAACTCTAAAAGAAAAACTGAAAAAAGGAGGGGGCTGGAGATACCAACAATACTAAAAATAGAAGTAGTTAACTCTATGAAAGAGTTAGAACAGTGAAGTTACATTCGAAACAAGGAGGGATAGAAGAATAGAGGCAAAGTCTAATTCCATGAGACCTTCCTGATAACATTTCAGATTATTAACCAGATAAGAAGTGGCACAAAGGGCTTGAGGGAAATAGGATAAGACCTTGGTGGGCAGCTGAATCATGTTTTACTAAAATTTCTGATGAACTGACATTGGTTAGTCTCTTGATGAAAAATCAGTACTGAATTTTAAATAGAGTTATTGTAAGTCTTATGAAATTGGATTCTTCTGCACTTCATATAGGTCATAAAAGACAGAGCGGGATTTCATTGTTATGAGGTGCTGGATCAGTTTTAAACCATTCCCTGTGAGGAAACAAGTGAGGTCCTTCCCTCCTGACCCAGGCTGTGGAATGCTTCCTTCCCCAACACACCAAAAGAGCAGAAGAATAAGGCAAGTGCTCATTTTAATTTGTTTTTATTTCAACATAACATGCAGTAAAAAAAAAAAATCAACAAGATTTATTAGCATTTACAATGCTTACAAAGAAAAAGGACCTTAAAAGCAACTTAGTTCAGATTTAAGAAAAAGCTCTAATTAAACACTTACAATAAATCTATTTCCAAATGTTCAGTTTAGACCAAAATTTAAGATAGCATTTGTAGATATTTATGTCTGTTGTCTATTTGTAGTTATTTTTTATATAACCTCTGATTCTTGGGATATCCAGCCCCCATTTTTCTAACAGCAGGGAAGACATATACATGTGGCCACTTAAATTAAAGGAAGAAACAGAGTTGGGAGATCCTGGACTGCAAAAATATATACAAGCATTTACCTTTTCCAGAACTAAACATTTCTTTCATAAAAATATTAAATAGCCAAGCCCTATAGAACTAGGGCCAGGACTACTTCAAATATAACTATTCTGTATTTTAAAAATATAGGGCAGAAAGCCTTTTAGGTAATATTTGTACATTTTCACACAATATTTCTAGGTCCCTAAATGAATCATGAAGCATTATGTAGAACCAAAAAGCCTATTTTCTTACATTATCTCTTAATTTAATCTTATAAATCTCTAGCAAATATTATAGGTAACTACATTTCATTATGAGAATTTGCCCAATAGGATGTGTTTATAGAAGGCTTAATCTTCACAGCCATGTATTACCAAAGTTCAGACTTACATAATGAATGGGTAGTTGGCAGACATTCGCTCTGTAAGACAAAGCAATAGCATTTTTTTTTTACCCTACCAACAAAAAGGCAGAGAATCCCTACTTTGGAAACTGGGGCTTTTAGAGCTCACACTACATTTCCTAGGGTATGTGGAATAAAAAACAGTTGGGGAAATCTTAATCTCCCCCTTTACACTGATAATTTTTGAACGAGACAACCTTTTTACTCACACAAGTCTCTGCTTTATGATGGCAGTGTCAAAGAGCACAGATACACAAGTTAAAAAATGTTTTTCTTGTTCTAGGATATAAATAGGAAGAGCAGATGGTGATGTAAAAACATTTTCTTTCCATATAGAACAGGGGCCTGCTACTTGCTGTGTATTCTTGGCCTAATGCTACTTGTTCACGCTACACTACTGAAACATGCCAAGGTCCCTGTTACATGAGTTATAAGGCTATCTTCAGGGTTTGGCTATGATAGGGACTCAGCTGGCTTAGCTTCCTCTCACTACCCATGAAGTCAAATCTATGATAGCAGCCATCCTGACAATCTATAGTAGGCCAAGTTAAATAAATTAACTACAAAGAAGGCCAAAGTGCATTAATTAGTTACTAATGGAGCAGTTTTTAAAAAAAACTAGTCATAGGGAAATAAAGGAAACCTGCTAAAATTTTTAGGGTGAAAAGAATAATGCAGATGAGGAATACCAATTCAGGACAATGTAAAGAATAGAAAGGACTACTCCAACATGTGTCAGAGAAATAGCAAATCTGAAGATTTTAATTCATAGCCAGAATACATTTCTGTGCTTACTAGGTATTATCTTCCCTTCTTTCTAACCAGCACCACAGCTCTCACTCCCATATTTCAAAGGCTGACTTCAAAGGCTGTTTCACTGACCTCTATTTGAACTAGGAAATATTCTAGTTACAACTTAAACTTCTTAGCAATAATTAAATACAACTGAAGTTGTTAGACTGACAAAATTATAAAGTTTCAATTTATGTATAGGATCATACAAAAGTCATTAATAATCGCCTTAGATGAATTCAGCTGAATTAACTCCAATTAACTTTTAAAAACATTGAATAACCACAGTGTTAATATTGTTTACACTATTTGCAAGGCAATTAAAACAAATTTCCAAATGAGGAGAGGTATGAAGTCATTTGCCAGCTGGAACCTACTTTTCCCTGAATTCAAAGACAAAACTGCTTTGTAGAGATGTAAGTCTTGCATCACTTCCGGGAATAACATCAAAACGATGCGTGGATTCATGCTCCAGGAAGGAAAACAACAGTCATGCCAGACTTAAATGAGAGGGAGAGCACAAGCCAGAAGTCTGCTCACGTGCCCAAAAGCTGGGCTAAGCTTGCACTTTTATTAAATACCTCTCAACAAGAGGCTTAACAGGAAGATCTTGTATATTGCAGTTCCTGAAAGACTTCCCTGTACATTTGCAGAATCTCTGAAAGAAAAAAGCCTGCTTCGAAGTGAGACTTTTGACACATACAAAATTGTTAAGGAAACAATCTAGTGGAATAAGACAATGCAGATTTCATTGCAGTGTTAAATCTCATATTAAGTAAGGTTCTGACTAGTTGTAGATTTGTTTCTGTAAATGTTGAGTAGAAATCCAGAATCACTGGGAGATAAATTTCAGTGATAACATTAATTTACTTACACTCAGGTAACGTTCTAAACCGTCACAGCCCCATTTTACAAGATGTGCAACAGGCAGAGAAGGAAAAGGACAAACACTGCAAATAAGTTCTTATCCATTGGTGGTGCAAAGTCTTAGAAGTTACTCTTGTCCGAATCCTTCTGTTTCTTCAATGGCAAACAACAGCTTTTCCTTCAGTTGCTCATAGCTCTTATAGGGTGGGAGGTCCAGGCGGTTAAAACTAGAACAAAGAAATACTGGCTTGAGAAAAGGAAATACACAAAGAAACAAATGGGTAGTGTAGTACAGCAACACTGGCTTTAAAGTTAGGGAAAACTAGGTTCAAATCTTAGCTCTGTTGCTGGGCTTTTGTGACTTCTCCATTTCTTCTTTGGTAAAAATAAGATTAACAATATCTACCTCTCAGGGTAGACTAAGAAGAAATGAACACACAGATAGTGCCTGACAGCAGGCCCACAGTAAAATGTTGGTCCTCCCATACTTCCCCATCCACCTCAATGTAGGTCAGCGGTCAGCAAACTTACAGTAAAGGCCAGACAGTAAATATCTTAGGCCGTGCAGGCCACATGATTCTCTCTTCTAATATTATGAACCCTTTGTGTTTCTAAGCTGTGAATTTCTTTTTTTGGGGGGGGGGCGGTCTTTTTGAGAGAGGGTCTTGCTATGCAGTTCAGGCTGGCTTTGAACTTACTTTGTAGCCCAGGATGGTCTCAAACTTGCAACGATCCTCTTGCCTCAGCCTCCCGAGTGCTGGGATTACAGACGTGTGCCACCATACCTGGCTCTAAACTGTGACTTTTTAAAGGGCATGTTCTGATTTGGGGCCGTATCAGTGTCATTTCCATATGGTAACACGTGGGATTTCCATATGGGCCCATTTATAGGACAAGGCCTAGGTAAATGTTTGGTCATACAGAAAAAAATGCTATCCATGAAAGGAAAATAAATTTATAATGATGACTTTCTCTTCAGTAAATGGTGCTAGAAAAACTGGGTATCTCTATACAGAAGAAACTAGATCCCTATGACTTACCATAAAAAACAAAACAAAAATATGCAAGGATGGACCAAAGACTTAAATACTAGAAGAAAGTACAGGGGAAATATTTTTGGATATTGGTCCATGCAAAGATATTTTTAAATATGATCACAAAAGGATAGGCAACAAAAACTAAACTTATACTGGGATAACATCACTCTAAAAAGTTTCTGTATAAGCAAAGGAAAAAAAAAATCAACAGTGTGAAGATACAACCCAAAGAATGATTAAAAAAAAAAAATCCGCAAACTATTCATCAGACAAGGGATTAATTTCCAGAACATGTAGGGAACTCAAAACACCACAGCAAAACCTCCAAATCCCATTAAAAAATGGGTAAATGATCAGAATAGGTATTTATCAAAAGAGGACATACAAACAGCCAACAAGAACATGGAAAAATTTTCAACATCACTAACGATCAGGGAAAAGCAAATCAAAATCACAATGAGGTGTTAGCTTACCCCAGTTAGCATGGGTGTTATCAAAAAGGTAAATAACAAGTGCTGGTGAAGACATGGGAAAAGGGGAACTTTCATATATTGTGTATAGTAAATTAGCACAGCCATGATGGGAGACAAAATGGAGGGTCCTCAGAAAGCTGGAACTAGAACTACTGATATATGATCCCGCAATCCTACCACTGGTATACATCCAAAGAACTAAAATCAAAGAGACAGGCTTTGCATGTTTATTTCAGCACTATTCACCATAGCCAAGATATAGAACCAAACTAGGTATCCATCAATAGATGAGTAGCTAAAAAAAAATAAAATAAATGTAAATATGAATAAAATTTGTCATTTCTGGTAATGGATAGAACTGGAGGACATGTTAAGTGAGATAAGCCAGGCAGAGCAAGACAAATACATCATGTACTCTCTTATATGTGAAAGCAAAAACGTTGATCTCAAAGGAGTAGAGAACAGAACAGTGGTTGTAAGAGCCTCAAAAGCATGCGGTGTGGGTTAACAGGGATGAAGCTGGATATGAGGAATAATTTCTTTTTGTTTTTTGTTTTGTTTTGTTTTGGTCTTTTTGAGACAGGGTCTCGCTATGCAGTTCAGGCTGACCTAGAACTCACATATTCCAGGCTGGCCTCGAACTCACAACAATCCTCCTGCCTCTCAAGTGCTAGGATTATAGGCGTGCGCCACCACTCCTGGCTTATGAGGAATAATTTATAATGCTTTTTTTTTTTTTTGGTACTGGGAATTGAACTCAGGACCTTGCACTTGCCAGGCAGGCACTTATGCCATTGAGCTATATCCCTGGTCCTCTAATGCTTTATAGGGTGATTGGTTGATATCTGATTACAAGAGGTGACGGAAAGATGTGTTATTTTACAAATTTTACTACAGAAAAAAAATTTACTACAGTAAAAGACATACTGCCAAGAATAATGGGGTTAGGTGTGTTGAAATGAGGAGGGATTATTTTGAGGCGGGCTAACAGTAATGTGTCTTTTACCATAATAAATTCTTTTAACAATTACCATAGTTTTGTAATCCTAGCACTTGGGAGGCTGAGCAGGAGGACTGTGCAAGTTTGAGGCCAGCCTGGGCTATGAAGTGAGTTTAAGGTCAGGCTGAACTGCATAGTGAGACTCTGTCTCAAAAAGACCAAAAAAAGAAAAAAAAAAAAAAAATACCATAGTTTTTGATTTCTCTTCACTGATCAAACATTTATGGCAACTTCTGTCAAAAACATTATGGTGTGTTCTCATCCACCTTATATATCCCCTGAGTCTAAGATTATACAGTTTTTGGCTTTTCCTCAAAGTCAAAATGACCATGAAAAGTAACATTTTGAATAATCAGAACATTGCAGCAGCCACCACAGAGAAAATAAAGACATTCGTAAAAGAGGACTATTGAGCTGGGGATGTAGCTCAGCGGTAGAGTGCTTGCCTAGGATGAACAAGGTCCTGAGTTCAATCCCCAATACCATCAAAAAAAAAAAAAAAAGACTCCTAGCTGCTTCACAGAGTGGCAGGAATGATGGAATTAGTCTTCTGTGTGTGGAGGGGGTTGAGGTAGATTAATCAAAATACAGTCATTCACTGTAATAGTTTTTTAAAATTTAAACATTCAACATAATTCAACATAGTTTCTGATCTCATCTCGTATTTCTAACTAGTAAAATGCACACTTTAATAAGAGGATGAACTCAGTGCTATTTGAATTATGCACACGTATTGTACACATACACAAGTTACTAGCACTGTGTGTATGTGTATTAAAACATAAAGGAACAGACAATAAAACAGCACAACAGTCAGAGAAAATAAGTAACTATTTAGCAAGATCAGTATGTGACGACTAGGTATATGTCCCACAAAATAAAATTTAAAAATTGTTGATGTTAGGTGGAATTCCAATATATTGTACTTGAAGTTAAAATTGGCAGGCCTTTAGTTTGGTATATTTTGTTTTGTTTTGTTTTGTTTTGTTTTGTTTTGTTTTGTTTTGTTTTTCTCCGGTACCAGGAACCAAACTCACGACCTTGCGCTTGCCAGGCAGGCGCTTTTGCCGCTAAGCTAAATCCCCAGCCCTAGTTTGGTATATTTTTGGAAATGTGCTTGATCTATATTTAAAATCAGAAGGTTATTTCTGGTCACCATGTTAAAAAGTAGGTACTCCATAATTTGCCATAAAGAAGAATATGCTCAAATCATTTCTAGGAAAATGGATGCACCTTGAGTCCATACTCCTAAGAAAATGTTCAAACGGGGAAGGGAACAATGAAGGGAGAGGGAGAAAGGAAAGTTAAAAAAAAAGAAAGAAAGAAAGAAAAGAAAAGATATGGAAACAAAGCTTTTGTAAATGGGGAGGGGTTTAAGGGAAGGTAGGAGAATATGAAAAAAAAGTTATATCATGTACAGGTAAAAATTCTCTATGATGAATGTGATCATTATGTATATCTACAATGTAGCAAAATATTTTTTAAAAAAGAATTATACACACACACCATAAAAGAAAGAAAAAAAGAAAGAAAGGAAGATGAAAGAAGTTACTCCAAATTTCTTTTCCTGCCTTCTGATAAAAATGTAGTTTCTAAATCCCACATTTAAAAAACTTCAGGGTATGCGAGGTGGCTAATCGCAAATGGGCATTTTGGAGTGAATGAAGTACTCTAAAACTGGATTGTGGTGATGCCTACACTATTCTATAAAATTTAAATATCAGCTGGGTGTGGTGGCAAAAATTAAAACAAAAGACAAAAGGGGAGGGGAGGAGGGCCTGGAAACGTAGCTCTGTGTAAAGGCCCCTGGATTGATCCTAGTATCATACACACATACCCCTAATTATATCTCAATAAAGCTGTTAAACACATTCGGTAATACTGGGGAAAAGTTTTTCATTTATAGTCTTACACAACTGAAATTTCTACAGGCTAATCGGAGAAAGGGCTATTTTCTCTAATCTTTCTGATTTTGCTTACCAGGTATGACTTCTGGGTAACCAATTTTCCTTCCCAACTTTTTCAATGCAGAATTTCTGTGGTCCATTGCTCCCTAAGAACATAACAAAACCATAAAGTTCGTTGGTTCAAAAGTTTTCAAATTGTGCTCTCCATTGTAGCATCAACAGGTTAGAACCACAGACCCTACCCCAAGGCTACTCAATCAGAAACTCTAGGAGCGGGACTCTACAGTATGTGTTTTAGCAGGCTTCCAATGACTTTAAGGAGTGCTACAGTTTGAGAAGCATTTTGTTAATGTATGCCCAAGAAGAGAAAATACATTTTTATTTATCACTCCTTAGGGAGAATAACACAAATTACATACAAAAAGCTTACTTTTAGAAGTTTTAACTACACTAGAGAAACTATGACCTACTATCTTATGTAAGAAAACTTGATTTAAATAGTTAACATTTTATGAAATGTAAGTATCATAGTGAGTTCAGTATTAGCAGTGCTTATGCTTACAGGTTCTAGAAAGCATATTCAGATAAAAATACATCAATTCTTGCCTCTTCTTTGTGCGAGAGACAGCAGTGAGTGATGACTGATTGCAAAGCACTAGTTTTAATAAAAGATCACCACTTCTCCCTAGAAAACATTTATTGGTGGTCAAATGACTGGCGGTGTTACTGGGCTTTTTATTTAGAAGTAGCCAGGCACAAACAGGGCATGGTGGCACACACTTCTACTTCAGCTACTTGAGAAGATGAGGCAGGAGGACTCTATCCTTGAGGTCAGCCTGAGCAGCTTAGTGAGACTCTGGCTCTCCCTCTCTAAGTAAAAGGGACAGGTGCCGTAGCTCAGTAGTAGAACCTTTGCCGAGCATGTGCAAAGCCCTGGGTTTAAGTCCTGCTAACACCAAAACAAAACAAAAACAAATGTGGCAAGATACACTAAATTGTCTCATGTTTCACTTGACTAAATCCAGGTCAAATATAAATTGGTAGTACTACTTTGTATTTAGTAACAATTATTTTCACAAGTAGCTAAGTAAAAACTCCAATAATAAAAGGAAATAGGTCATTCTGAAAAAGAATGGTGAAAATACTTCTGCAGTGTTAAACATATTTTAAAATTTTAAAAAATTAAGTCACTCTGCATGTTCTCTTTACTCAATATATTACAGCATTTCACCTACACAGATGAAATGAAATGTAGAAGTGCTAATTAACATGTAACGGAGAAAATTCTGAATCACTTTTAAAAGATATAGAGGGCCGGGGATATAGCTCAGTGGCACAAACACGTGCCTGGCAAGCCCAAGGTCCTGAGTTTGATTCCTGGTACCAAAATATATATATATATTTTTTATATCCTGCCTCAGCCTCTGCATTGGGATTACAGGCATGCACCCTATATTTTAATATATGCTATTTATCTTGTCATCAAATCTTTCTAAAATGCAGCATTAGCAAGTTAGTTCTCTTCAGAAAGAACTCCCAATTATGTTGGTTTGCTTTTAAAGTCTTTATTAAACTGGCTCCATACTCTGTATCCAAGATCACCTGCTTACTTCTCTAATTGTGAATCTACTTCAGCTAAAACAGTCTTTGAGATCACAACTTTTCTGTGTATCCTCCTATGGTACATAGTATAATGTTTTGTTTTTTCTTTTTTTTTAGATAGGGTATCACTATGTAGTTCATGCTGGCCTTGAACTCACAGCAATCCCCTCCTGTCTCAGCCTCCTGAGTGTGGGGATTACAGGTATGCACCACAACACCCTGCCTTGTACCTTAAAATATAGTACAATATACTCAATAGTGTTTGTTGCAGAAACACAAAAATGTTTGCAAAATGGCTGAACAAAAAGATTTATATACAGAAAGAAGTCTGTTATCCTATTAAGTTAAACTGTGCTATACTGAGGACTAAAAATTTCTATAGAGGTAAGGACTACAAAATGATGTAAAAGTTTACATAAATGCAGGTTACCTGCCTAGCTGAGAAAATGGCTAGACTTTATTATTTCTGCTAGGCTGGATGTACATTTATCTCACAGCAATGTGATAAACAATTTTCTATATAGGAAAAACCCCTTATACATACCCATGAGGTCAGCAAATCCTCCTACTGGCAATCGGCAGGTTCCAGTAACAAACTGCAGAAGTCTCATTCTCTTCTCATTATCAATTTCTTTAACAAACTGTTAAAATCACATTAAAAGAGATATGCAGGTCATATGTTATGTTCGGCTTACTGACAAGAAAGAAAAATGATTTCAAACTTTAAATGAACCCCTGGCAACACCTTTACTCAACACTGTTGATACAGGGAACATTTCCAAGTTTTGTCAAGTTCCTACCAACCCTTCCCCTACATAAATTTTAGGATGACATCTTTAAGGGGAAGGGTTCCCTGGGCATAAGAAATTCTTACTTAGGCAGTTCTTGAAGATCTGCTCTTCTACTTAAACCTGGCTGTCCTATAGGACATTCATGTGGTTACACAGTTTGAGTCTGTACAGACTTTTTAGATTTATGAACAAATGAAACCAAGCCCACAAAATGCTATTTTATAAATAACCAACAGTCTTTCCTCAACGTTCTTTACGTTTTGGTTGAAGCTACATATAGGCAGAATTGTGCAGCTTTTATCCCCTATACTTGACTCAAAGCATTAGGTTTCTGGAGGGAATTTCTAACCTAGCTGAGACAAATATTTTTCGTAAGGAATAGCTTTTTTTCTGTTTTACTACTGAAAAAGATGCTTTCTTTTTGGTACCAGGAAGTGAACTCTGGACCTTGTGCTTGCCAGGCAGGTGCTACACCACTGAGCTATATCCCCAGCCTTGAAAATTATTTTAAAGTGCTAAACTATTTGTTGCAGCTCAGTTCACTTCTTGAGTTTCTCAGATGAATTTCTTTATATCTATAATGGACTTTTAAAAACATTATAGTAAAATACACCTAACATAAAATTTACCAATGATTTAAGTGCATAATTCAATGGCACTAAATACACACAGCCATAATAATCATCATTTCCATTCCTCCTGCCTCATTTCTATGTCCAGAACTACTGTATCATCCTAAACAAAAATATGTACATAATAAACATAACTCCCCACACATACTTACTAAATCCCCTAGAAAGCTACATTCTGCTTACTAATTTTACTAATTTGTCCATTTGAGGAACCTCATGTAAGTGAAAGAATATTGCCTTTTGTGGCTGGTTTATTTATTTATTTTTTAAAAGAGAGTCTCTATCTTTCCAGTGCAGGCTGATGTTAAAAACACTACGTAGCCAAGACTGCCTTCAAACTCACAGCGATCCTCCTGCCTCAGCCTCATGAGTGCTGGGATTACTTGCATGTGTCCCCAGGCCTGGCTAGTTATTTCATTTATATGAAAATTCATAATGTTTTCCTTCATTGTTTATTTTTTTTCTCTTTGAGTCAAGGTTTTGCTTGGTAGTTCAGGCTAGTCTTGAACTCTTGGCAATCCTCCTGCCTCAGCCTTTCAAGTTCTGCGATTACAGGCATGTGCTGTTCATTGTTTCTTGAATACTTTTTGTATGTGCGGTGCTGGAGACAGGACCTGGAGCTTTTTCCATAGTAGGCAGGTGCTCTACCATCTAACCCAAAATTTATGTATTTATTTTGGTGAACGGGTCTTTCTATATAGTTCAGGCTGGCCTTAACTCATAGCAATCCTTCTGCCTCAGGCTCCCAAGTGCTGGGATTACAGACATGCACCACCACACCTGACTAAAATTTATAATATCTTAAGGTTCATTCATGTAAAAACTTCATTCCTTCTTAGGGACATATATATTATTATATACCACGTTTTGTTTATTCATCTAATGATGGGCATATGGGTTAATGTCACCTCTTGGTGATCTTTTTTCTTTTTTTTGCAGACAGGGTCTCGCTGTATAGTTCAGGCTGCCCCTGAACTCACTATATAACCCAGGCTGGCTTTGAACTTATGGCAATCCTTCTGCCTCAGCCTCCTGAGTATGGGGATAACAGGTGTGTGCTACCATGTCTGGTGACCTCTTGGTGATCCTGAAATACTGCTATGAAAGGTGATATGAAGCAGTATCTATTGGAGGGGGCCTCTGGTTTTAATTCTTTTGGAATGGAATTGCTAGATCATATGCTGTAAATAACTTTTGGAAGCACTGCCAAATCATTTTCTATAGTGGTTGATTTGTTTTTATTTTTAAATTTTTTTTGTTTTATTGACACAGGGTCTTGCTATGTAGTTCAGGCTGGCCTTGAGCTCATTATGTAGCTTAAACTGGCGTGGAACTCCTCCTGCCTCAGCCTCCCAAGTGATGGGATTATAGGTATGCACTGCTATGCCCAGCTATAGTGGTTATTATACTCTAACAATACATGAAGATTTTAATTTCTCCACATTCTCCCCTAAGATTGTTCCTCTTCCCTCTCTGACAGTAGTAATGACTATAAAGTAGCACCTCACTGTGGTTTTGATTTGCGTTTCTTGAGTGACTAATGATTTTGATCATTTTTTCACAGTTGTTTTTTTTACAGAGATACTATTATGATTCCAAACCACAGTCTTGAACTTTGCCACCTGAACATTATATGGATCTTAATGACGTACTATTGTTAAAAACCTTACTGACAGTTGTATAAAATCCCAAAAGCACTTAAATCAAATGTAGGTGAATCTTCTGGAATTGTCTTTTACTCTGGTCAAAGCTGTAAGACATGTTCTTTACTTACTAATAGTCTTAAAAGGATGCTGTTAAGTTCTATACTCATTTATTACATGCACAGAATACACTGAAGGGCCTACACATACTGTGCACTTTGTTCTGTGGTAAATTCTAAAAACTTAAGTTATATCTACCAATAGAAATAAACTTAGAAACAAACCTGCCAAAACCATATGATTTGTTTGCTTGTCCTAGTATAATGACGGTAGATGGCATGTCTTTGCCAGTCATTCAAATCAATCTCTTGCATGCCACATAAAAGGACCTTTAGCAATGGAAAATATAAAAATAATTTTTAGGTAACTGTACAAAAAATGCTTGACAGATAAGAAAAGATTAACAGTAAACATAGCTTTAAAGTTAGTAATCAGTAGCCTTCCACTTTTAACTATACATCAAGAATTGTATTTATATTAAGGTGGGTTTCTACATATGGTGTCATACATACAGAAAATAGGTCATTCAGTTGTAAGTCAGTCTTTCTTTTTTGAGGGAGGGTCTCACTATGTAGTTTAGTCTGGCTTTGAAATCACTTTGTAGCCTAGGCTGGCCTCAAACTCACAACAATCCTCCTGCCTCAGCCTCCCAACAGCTGGGATGACAGGCTTGTGCCACCACACCTGGCTAGGTAGATAGTCTTAATAGCAGTACTTTTTTTTAAAGGTAGTACACTCTTTGTCTCTCTCTTTTAATTTTGGGATAATTTACAGTTTTCTTTAACCATTAAGGATGTTTCAAAACATCTTACCAGCATAAAAACTACTGTCACTGGAAAGATGAGAAAGGAGATACGCACAGACATTTAATAGAATGCTGTAGTGAAATAATGAAAAAGTGATTACCTCTAATTCCTTTGCATCAAAGTATTGTAAATACTGCTGGGGAAGAATTTCATTAAAACCTTCAAAGAAAGCTTGTGTCTGTTCTTCAACACCTCGAGACAACCTCCACTCAGCTACCATTCTGTCAAGTAAATATGAAAACAACTATCAGGACATTTAAATTTTACCTTTAAATTCTGAGTATAAAATTTAAAAATTTTAAACTTTATTATGAAAAACCTGAAACCACGAAAGCAGAATATAACAAACCCCCTTGTACACAATGTCTTAACTTTATCACAATACCAACTTACACCCAACTCATATTCTAAATATAATTTCATTTTGAAAAAACACTTCCAGCTGCCAGTAGTTTGTTGCCTTCTGCCTGCCATAAACTAGTTCTCCTTTGCAATGCCACTCTGCCATGCTGCCCTGACTTAGAGCCAGCCAACTATGGACTGAACCCTCTATACATTACTGTCTCTCCATACAGAACATAAAATTTCAAACCGTATAGATTTCAAAGGAATTACCACAAGGGACCAGTAGTCAACTGTAGTATTATGGGGAAAATCTGTTTCTACTACATAGAAAATGTCTAAATGTGATTCCATCAAGTTGGAGCATCACCATTAGCTGGTGCTCTTAGAAAACTCAAGCATACTCAAGAGCCAGGCACTTAAATCATGCCCTACTTTGACACTGGGAAATATCTAGGGGATGTGAACTTGGATCCCAGAACTCAGAGGAGTCAAGAATTATTTTGAGGAAAAAAAAAAAAAAACCTGAAGTTTACAGCCAGACGTTCCAACATCTGAACAACTTTTATCAACTATATATAAAGAATAGTTCAGCAAAACACACCAGGCCAGGTGTGGTGGTGCAACCTGTAATCCCTGCACTCCAGAGCTGAGGCAGGAGGATCGCTGAGTTAGAGGCCAGCCTGGGCTACATACTGAGTTCAAGGCCAATCTAAAGTACATAGCGAGACCATGGCTCAAAAAAACCAAACAAAGACAAAACAACAACAGTAAAGATAGTTTTTGGCTAAGATGACACCTATGTAAGTTTTTGACTAATATGATACCTGCCTTTCATATACTAATTGGGGACATAACAGGACTCCTATAAAGATGTAAAGCAGGGCCATCATTCAATCCCTGGAACTGTCTGATGCAATTTATCAAAATTTGTGCTTTCGTACAGCTTGTGGCCTTACTTAATGGGTGTTGCCTTAGAAAAGATGTATAGATGCTACAGCTGTGTCTACAGCAGCTTCCTGACACTCCAGAGTCTGTCACGTGTGTGCACTTGCTTAAAAATTTCAATGAGCATTGGTGATGACAGTCTTCAAGGAATTAATATCAATGTGGAGTCAATTTATTACACTAATACTGAACAAGAAGAAAAAATGGAACAGCAACCTGAAATTTATCAAAATGGTTTCAATACTGAAGACAGTAACCACAGTAACTATAATCAGGAGTTAAATGAAAAGGTACAGGATTCAACAGAAGGGCCTGCCTTGGTGCCTTGTGATACCCAAGACAGCAGCTCTACTAAATAGCATTCTTCATTCAGCACACAGTGAGATTTTTCTTCTGGCTCACTTGAAGGATATTCCCACACAGGATATCACTTCATTTCTCCGGTATTTGTACTTCCTTTATCTTTTATTTCTCTGATGTGAGAAACAGAAAGGACCAAAGTGTACTGTGAAATAGGAAGAAAATGTTCAAATAAGAAGGGGAACTATGCAAGGGGGAAGGAAAAGGAAGGAAAAAGAAAAAAAAGAAAAGGAAAACATGGAAACAAAACTTTTGTAAATAGAGAGGGGGGAAAGGAGTTGGAAAGGTAAGAGGAATGGCGAAAAAAAAGAAATGAGGCATATCATGAACAGGTACAAATTCTGTACGATAAATGTGATCCTTAGGTATACCTAAAATGTATCCAGAAACTTAAGAAAGAAAATGTGTTTATAAGTAAACAAATGTGTAACTTCAGTCTTTAAAGTAGCATGCAAATCCATCTTGCATGTCTCTTATTTGCTGTCCTGAGAAACCACTTTGAAGATACCAATATGTAATACAACAACCACTGTTAATTTCCTACCACTTTGTCTGTAATTCAGTATTGCTTGTATTGTTCTTATGCTATTTTGTAAATGGATGTCTATTTGTTATAAAAAAAAACCAGTAGTATGCAAGGGGAATGAAGCATAGAGAATGTCCAAAATTTTCCCACAGTTGACTAAATGGCATCAACCAGAGAGACAAGCTCAGAAATTATCAGGATAAATATAAATTGACTACCAACTAGTTACATCAAAAATCAAAGCTGAAATCTTTTGAAAGCCATACATTTAATTCAGAAGGACAACAAAAATAATGGCTCATGGCATCAAGAACAATGGAGCTGAAACAATGGAATGACAAGACTGTTTTGGTGGCACATGCCTGTAGTCCCAGCACTTAGGAGACTGAGACAGGAGAATGGCCATGAGTTTGAGGCCAGCCTGAATTAAGTAGTGAGATGAGAGAGAGGGAGAAAGAGAGAGAGAGAGGGAAGGAGGGACAAAGGAAGGAAAGAAGGAAGGAAGAAAGGAAAGAAACAAGGAAGGAAGGAAGGCAGAAAAGAAGGGAGGGAGGGAGGGAAGGAGGGCCAGGCGTGGTGGCCCACAACTGTAATCCCAGAACTCCGGAGGCTGAGGCAGGAAGATTGATGTGAATTCGAGGCCAGCCTGGGCTACAAGGTTAGTTCAAGACCAGCCTGAACTACGAAAAGAAAACAAAACAAAGAAAGAAAATAAATTTTAAAAGGATATTTTAAATGAATTATTTTTTTAAAGGATAGATTTACCAACAAGTATATTAATAGTTAAAACTGCAGTTTTAACTATGAAAGGAAAACCAAGCCAGAGATGCATAAACTGGAACTTAGGAAGCAGAGCCAGATACAGTGATGCACACCTGTAATCTCAGCTACTTAGGATAATGAGAAGTTGGATCAGAAGTTAAGACCAGTGTGGGCAACTAAGCAAGACCCTGTCTCAAAATAAAATTAAAAAGGACTGGGATGTAGCTCAGTGGTATAGCACTTGCTTGGCATGCACAACGTTCATTCCCTAATACCACAAGACAAAATAAAACACCCCAAAACAACAACAAAAAACAGTAGCAAATATGCTAAATTTAACCCTCACTGGACATAATTGGTGTTGAGAAGACATGAATGAACTAATAAGTCTATTATTAGTATAATAATGTCTATTTAATAATAATAATAAGTTTATAATAAGTCTATTAGTTCCAGTATGAACCAATGCAAAGCATTACAGAGGCTATACCATAAATCAGTGTTTAACTTACAAATTTTACCTCATCTTACAATATTTTCTATGAAAAGATCTGCATATAAATTTGAGATGCTTTTCAATGGCACATTATAGGGCATGGTGATCACAGAATTGGTATTCGAAAGGGTGATCCAACATCACTTCTACTGTTTTTTTTTTTTTTGGTCTAGTTTTTTAGACAAGGTCTCATTGTGCAGTTCAGGCTGGCCTTGAGCTCACTTTGTAGTCCAAACTTGCAATGATCCTCCTGCCTCAGCCCCCAAGTGCTGGGATTACAGATGTGCGCCACCACGCCCAGCACTTCTATTCTTAAAAAAAAAAAAAACAACTCCCACTTTTGGGCTTAAACTAGAAATGAGAAATAACTGCCTGTTCAGAGCAATGCTTATCACAAAGGAAACACTATCTTTTGAAATATGGTCCATTACTATTACCAGACAATTATGAACAGAAAGGCTAACCTATCTTATTGGAACACTGGAACATTCTCTCTCACCTGATGTATTCCTCTTTGTTTTCTTCTGTTACAAGAATATTGCCACCGTTGGGTTTTAAATCATGACTCTTAATTTCACCTAGAATTTCTTTATCGACGGAGAAGTACATTTCCAAACCACATTCCTCAATATTGTTTTCTCTGCACAAATGAAAATAGTACTATTTGTTACAGCCATCAGTCCAATCTTAATTCAAGTTTAACTAAAGGTCTTTGGTCTTAAATAATAGCTTTAACGACAAAAGAAGAAATTAGAAGATTATGTTTTAAAGTCACCACCATATTAACTTATCCCTAAGGTCTAAGGGAGTGGTGGTGAACCTATGGCAAACATGCTGCAGCGTCGGCACCCAAGCCAGGGCATTCCAGTATTGAATAGCAGTTGTATTTTTTCTACACTAAAACCTCAGTATTTAGATTTAATTACAATGTTGGCACTTTGTGATAAACAAGTGGGCTTTGGGTTGCAGCTGGGGCCCTCAGTCTATACAAGGTTTGCCATCACTGGTCTGGGCATATTCCTCTAAAATTTATCATACTAAACAAATAGATTTGATGCATAAATCACTTCAATTCCATCTACCCATTACAGGCCCATAGTTTATTTAAGTTACTAATACCATAATAAAACCATATAGATTATATTTTACTAAATTAAATGTAAAGAAAAACTTACTTAACCCAGATGAGAGAATTGTAAAATTCTGGATCGATAGATTCTAAATCCTTAAGTCCAACTGGTTTGTTCAGGATACGTTTGTAGAATGGTAAAGAAAAACCCGTGTCTATGAATTTCCCATGGAACAGAGCCTATATAAAAAGAGAAAGAAAAAACCATTTTAGATACTGCGTAAAAGTCATTGCATGTCAAAATGTTAGGTGAATTCTTCATTAAATAAAATTCCTGTCATATCATCTGTCATGGCACATGTTAAGAAAAATTCATATTGCTGAAATAAAAAGTAAATATGCAGTTCTCTACACTTACCATGGCAATAAACCTTCCAATGAAACGAAAATATTTCAGGTGATCTGGATTGATGTAAGAAGCGGGGTTTATCTGTAAGCAGTAGTTATCCTTCCCTGCATATTCAAACAGGCAATACATTGGATTCAGCACTTCATGTGACAAAAGAAAGAACCATTCTCTGAAATCAAAAGAAAACTCAAGATGAAAAATTGTCTAAGTAACCATGACAACAAATCAAAGAGCAGTGCTACGAAATTCTCTGGAATCTGTATGCCTCAGTTGACAGTAGTTTTATAACCAGCTGATTTTTCTTGCTTCTGTTCAAAAACATCTACTTTACAGAGATGTTTTATATACTGCTTATTTCAAAGAGTCTAAGGCATGACTGACTTTAAAGACAAATTTAATGAACCACTAAAATTTTTTACACTTTTACCAACGTATCACAATTTCAGAGCCATCAAAATGGAAAATGTTAAGGCTTAGAACTGATGAATAGTATGAATAGGCAAATTTAAAATCCACTATTAACTCAGGTGATTAGAAGAGCTAAAATGCATCAAATATTCCATGTATTACTAAGTTCCTTACTGATCCTCAAGGAGTGCTACTACTCCCTATATCCTCAATGAATATGAAAAACCTTCCAATTTCAGAGATAGTATAGCAAGCATTTAATTTCACCTGCTGAAATACAAGAAAAACACTCTGAGAAACTTTAATTCAGGTGCTCAAAAGTACCAACCAATCTTTTTTTTTTTTTAGTACCAACCAATCTTAACGTAAGATTACAGTTATTAACTATGTGATGGGGTGGTAAAACGCATATGAGGCAACAAGCGTAGTATCCGCTTGTGTCCTATACCTGTCTTCCTGTTAGTTCATGGACCCTGATAATATTTCTTATACTTTCATATTGTTAATATTGCTAGTTAAAAAAAAATTGCTAGTTGTTTAACATATGATTGGGAAAATAATACATGTAAACAAAGTACAATGATACCTTTGAAGGAAAGGAATTAGGTTCTGAGTATTTCTATTATTCTCCTGAACTTCTTTTTAACTTGAACAAAATTAAAATATTTCTCTTAATATTTATTACTTATCTGTGAGTACTTCATATATTTTGAGATAGTTTTATTGGAATCTTGCAACATAATATAAAGAACTATTACTAAAATATAGCCACAGTTAGTGATCACACAGTGAGGCTCTGAATCAGGTAATTAAAAAACAGCATTTCTACTCTATATAATAATCTTAGAAACACAGGTATTATTAATATTTATAGATGAAGGTATTTCTCCAAGGTCACGCTACTGAGGGCAGAAACAAGATTCAAATCCAGTCTTGACCTTGAAGTCCTTGCCTTTCCACATTACTACTGCTAGGTGACTTTTTAAACTGGTATGACATACTGTTATTGAATAAGAAATTTCCTGATTGAGGCTATCTCCTAAAGTTTGAGTAGAAGCTCCAATATGAAGAAAGCAGAATTAACATTTTGAAATCCTATTTGATATAGGCTTCTATGTTCTGAGTACAAATTGTAATCTTAGTTGGAAATGGAATCACTACAACCTGTATCAGTATTCTGTACAGATAAAAATGATATCATTATAAGGCCCTTGGTGCTCTGTGCAACAAATATGATGAAGTGGTAAGACTGGTTAGATGATGGAAACTTATATCCAGCCTCTACAACTTACTCTGCCTTAGATGAATCTAAACCTTTTCGTCTCCTCTTTTACCTCACAGGAATATTCTGAGGATTAAATGAATAATGTGGGTGACCGCAACTAACAGTACCTCTGAAAAGAAGTGGTGAAATAATGTTTGTCAAAATTCTGTAGCTGCAGCATAAAAAAAGCTACAATAATTTGCTATATTTCATTTTCCTGAAATATAAGACTGAAAAAATAATACTTGCAAGCAAAGTGCAATGATACCTTTGGAGGAAAGGAACTAAGTTCTGAGTATTCATATTATCACTACCTTGCTACACCTCCATAATCTAAACCTTCTTCTCCTGGAAAAATCACCCACAAACGTCTTCGCAGATCTTGGGGACTGAAGCTCATTATCTACAAAACAATAAAGTAAGATACTTGGTAAAACAGGTGAGGAAAACACCATTCTATCACTTCCAAGTCTGTTACAGGTAACTTAAATCCTCCAACACAAAGAAAAGTGTTAATGATCTCATTAAAACACAGCACAACCCACAAGTAAAAACCACTGTGTTTATAGCAGCACAATTTATAATAGCTAAATCTTGGAAACAACCCAAATGTCCATCAACTGAGGAATGGATAAAGAAGATGGGCAATTTTTATACAATGGAGTACTACTCAGCTATAAACTTGTAAGTAAAATAAATCAGACTCACATGTATAAATATTGTATAGTCTCCTTAGTATAAGAAAATGAAAGAGTAAAACAAGATCTAAAATATACAATAGATATTTTAAAAGGGAAAGAAACTGCTCAAAAGGAAAGAACAACTGGGGTGGGGGAAAAGGAGAAAAGAAGGAAGGGAAATGAAAATATATATATACACAAGATAGCTAAGAAAATTACACTGCTAATTTCTATTAATTTTTGTTTTCTATTAATTATTGAAAAGAACAGTTTGTGCTTATACTGTTTGATCAATTTTGCATACCTACATCTTGTAATCAGAGCAACTATTTTGAAGATAACAATATGCAATATATTAACCATTGTTAATTTACTACTATCTTGTTTTGTTCTTTTTTTTTTTTTTTTTTGGTGGTACCGGGAATCGAACTCAGGACCTTGTACTTGCCAGGCCGGCGCTTGTGTTGCTGAGCTATATCCCCAGCCCCTATTATCTTGTTTTGAAATTGTGTATTACTGTTTTTGTTTCTCTTTAAAATAAGGAAATAAAAACTCAAGAAAAAAACCCCACAAGCACAGAAAATTTATGAGTTTCATGTTTCATATGTATCTATATTTGTGTTATTTTGTACTCATATAATTTTCATTCAAATGATACTACAACTGACATAAGTTGCTTATAGCACAGAGTCAAAGATCTGCTGGGGTTTTTCACGGGGGAGGGTAGAGGTTTGGGTTTGTTTTACAGCCAAAGGTAAACATAATACTAAGTTGCATCTTGGAAATGAAAACCAGTGATTGCAGAGATGCCAGTTAACTCTGGAACTCAATCATAGTGGCATCCTACACATATCTGGAAAAACTACCCGAATTTTGTGTTCTGCTATAGGTGACTAAGAGAATCATCTTAACAGCTAAAGGACAGTACCACTACTGAGTTATAAGGGATAGATCATTTGGTTTTCTCCTATCAAAAAAAAATTTGCAGTGGGGTGGCACATCTCACTATATTGCCCAGGCTGGCCTTAAATTTCGCAGTCTTCTCACCTCAACCTCACATGTGGCTGAGGTAACAGGCATGTGCTACTGCACCTATCTCATAAAACTATTTAATTATTTGCCCTAAATTGGGTGAGTAAAGCCTTGCATATATTAATTACTCTTAGGAAAAAAACTGGAAGGGCCTGAGAGGGAGAGAGGGAGAAAGGGAGAGACGGAGGGAGGGAGGAAAGGAGAGAGGGAGAGAGGGAGAGAGGGAGAGATGGAGGGAGAAAGGGAGAAAGGGAGAGAAGGAGAGAAGGAGAGAGGGAGAGAGGGAGGGAGGGAAGGAAGGAAGGAAGGAAGGAAGGCAGGAAGGAAGGAATCAGGTATGACCAAAAAATTCAATGTTTATGACATACCTACATTTTGGAGAAATATAAAAGGCTAGTTATATAGCAATGCAAATGACAGATGTCACAGTTAAAATTACTTTTAAATAATTTTCTTTGACAAATGCCTAGTATGAAGAAAAAATTATTTTCTTCCACTTTTTCTCATAGGCAGCTATACTATATTAATAAAAGAAAACATTATCTAGAGTAATTTTATCCAACAGCTGGGAAAAATCTAATGTTAATTCTGACATCAGGTTTATTACCTTTAAGCAAATTGTTCTCTTAAATTATTACTATCCATTTATTTGATGGACGTCAAATCTGAGATAGCAGTTTTGAACACAATCTGTTTAACTGAAAAAGCAGTTAGATTTGAAATCAAAAGATAAAGGGTCAGTTTAACTATTTTTTGCATCTTGTCAACACTGCTGCCAGCAAGTTATGTTACAAGAAATTGGCCCAACAGAGACTGCCTTCTCAGTGACAGAGGGTGGTTATAAATATAAAAATTAGATATGTGTGAAGACTATTGTGGGCAATGGCCTAGGAGACTTACATCAGATCAAGGGTATGATAGTAATTCTCTAAAAGGCCTCAGTCAAGCTCCAAGTCCCACTAAAAACCTATCTATGCCTACATAGCAGTATGTCAACTGGCTTTTCCCTTTAAATTTTAATAACTGAGGTTCCATTAGAAAATCAGCACAATTATTTCTAAAATGAAGTAGGTAGCTGCAGCCAAGCATCTCAGTATCTTTTCTCTTTGCTCTCAGTTCAGTATTTCTTGAACCTGTAGCTGCTATAGTATCAAAGGTGCTTGAAAGTAATCATTTTCACATCTGGCCATAAAACAAGGACTAGACAGATATTTTCATTTTAAGATTTTTTTGATGTTATTTTAATCTCTATAACACAACCATTTAACATTTAATTGCTAAAAAAAGGTAAACAGTAAACTGACTAAGGTTGAGGGGAGTGAAAAAATATGTTGACCACTACTGAAAACTCACACATCTTTTTTCAGAAGTTGTTGCCAAAGACTATTTCCTTATATTAAAATTTTTAAAAAGTAAGATATCCTACTGTAAGAATCCAAGAAACACAGAAGTACAAAGTAAGTCTCTTCTTTTTATCCATCCCACAATGGTTATATGGGTATTTCCAGACCTTTGCCTACTCATATCCTATTTCCCTCATTGTATATCCATTGCAAATATAACTCTTAGCAACTCAGAAACTTAAACTCACTAATAACTTTGTTACTTTGACTCTTACAAGCACAAAAAACACATGCACATTGGACACACACATCCACACACTATATATTTGTTCTTATGTTCTAAGTATGAGGCAGATAGAAATGAGATTAAACTTTAAAATTTAAGAACTCTGTTATGGTTTATGTCTGTGTGTCCTCCCAAAGCCTCCTGTGGCCCTGGGGCAGGCTATTAGAGTTTGAATATGGGTGTGAGAGCTATACCCGCCCTGGGGTGGATAGTTTGCATATATAAGGAAGAGGAAGAAGCTGCTTGGGGCCATTCCTCCCCAATTCCGCCCTGGTGTGTGGCTTGCTGCTTTGCTGTGCTGCCGCCCTGAGATGCAGCCCTCTGCCATGTGCCACTCTGCTTTATAATCTGCCAAGTACGGATTGAAACTTCCAAGAACTGTAAGCGAAATAAACCTTTCCTTCCTTAATTTTGGGCGTCAGGTATTTTGTCCCAGCAGTGAGAGAAAAAGTAACCAAGAAAAACTCCAAACTCAAAGAAGCTCAAAAAGTGTTCAGATACAACTGCTGGCACCAAAAGGCAGTCTGGGTCTGGCAGACGACGGAGTGAATGAGACAGTACCTGCTGAAACGAATCCTCAAATAATGTTTTCCTTGTTACTGTAATCTTTATGTGCTGTGGCATGGCCAGTTGCTGAAACAGAAAAATGATTTGTCAACTTTCACCATTAAAATGGCCTATCAAAAAATCAGGAGGTGAAAATTTTATCTTTATAGAAAAAGACTATAAATTTATACTGTGTTTATCCATGTACTTAAAAGCATTCACATGGATTATAAATTATTAAATATATGACAAACAGAAGTAAACAATATCTAATATGTACAAGTACTTAGTGACTCAACTATCTGCCTAATTTCAACAGGCTAGTTCAAAAAAAATTTGAAGTTGAAAAATATTTGACATCCTAACAATGAATTGCACTCATTTTACTTGCAATCCAAAAAAAAAAATTAATTCAAATAATTTATTTAAACATCAGAAGTAGCTGATCAATTTAGAAAAAGGCACTCTGAATGTACTATAGTTGCATATACATGTATGAACAATACATATATATCAAATCATTAATATCAAACATCAGGCGTGAACAGATGTCATTTATAAGTTAAACATCAGAAAAAATTTTAACATATTTGAAATTTTATGCAATATGAAAGTAATGGACAATAAGGAAGAAGTTTTTTTTGAGACAGGGTCTCGCTATGCAGTTCAGGCTGGCTTTGAGCTCACTCTGTAGCCCAGGCTGGTTGACACTAAGGAAAAAGTGACAATGTTTTCTTATTCAAACGATTTCCAACCTAATCTGGAAAAACAAAAAAAGCCACTTTTATTTGTTTGTTTGAGACAGGGTCTTGCTACGTAGCTCACGCTGGCCTTGAAATCACTTTGTAGCCCAGGATGGCCTCAAACTTGCGGTAATCCTCCTGTCTCAACCTCCTGAGTGCTGGGATTACAGGCATGCGCTACCGTGCCTGGCACAGCCACAAATTATTTAATTGATAAATATATTTATCGGTCCTAAAAAAGTAGAGAAAAGAGATCCCAACACTTCCCATTTTATTTGTTTCTCTGTGAGTTAATTACTTGCACCATCACTGTGTAAAATGAGTAACACAGCAAGAGAAAGGAGCACAGAAATACAGACCCAATACTAACCTGACACCAGAATCGGAAATACTGAACCTTTGCCTTGAAGTCCCGAACATAGGCTATCTGAGGTCCATTGTCCCTGGGAAGAACGAAGGTTAACAAGATTTACACAGCCACTTATAAAAGATAATGCTGAAGGGAAGCACATATTCTTCCTCCTCAGTAGTTAACAGCCAAATACAAAAATACCCAGCATATTCCTAATACAAAGAAAAAATATCTAAATGTTCCACCATGTCCAGCCTGTGAAAGATGTTTTAAATACTACCATCACACAACATTAAAAAAAAAAATCTAAATGATTCCCCCAGGACCATTTTTAAGAAGGAAAATACTTCGATCTGATGAAGCCATAGTTGGGAGATTTTTTTTAATATGTACCCAAATCTAAATGAGCTCAATAAAGGTGGTTCTATCTGAGAATGTGTCTGTCCCAACATCCACTCTACACCAAAGTGTTCACTGATTCAGGTTGGGCTAGAGAGCTCTAAGTGTAAGGGTCCTATGGGGAGTTTAAGGAGCTTTAAAAAGAAGCTGGAAGGAGTTTTTGTTTTTATTTTTTCATATTCCAATTTGCCCTTCTTCCATATTCTAGCGATGGTTTAGATGTTGAATGTTCCCACAGTGACTATAGTGAGAGCCCAAGATCAATCCCCAGTACAAGAAAAAGAAAAAAATGTTAGGGCTGGGCATTGTGCCATATACTTATAATTCCAGCACTTAGGAAGCTGAGGCAGCAGGACTGTGAGTTCAAGGCCAGCCTGGGCTACTTACCAAGTTCAAGGTGGCCTGGACTACCTATCAAGATCCTTTTATTTTTTTTGGTACCAGGAATCAAACTCATGACCTCAGGGTTGCCAGGCAAGCGAGCTATATCCCCGGCCACTGAGCTATATTCCCGGCCTCTATCAAGATCCTGTGTTAAATTTTTTTTTTTTTTTTTTTTCCTCTGGTACTGGGAACCGAACTCACGACCTTGCGCTTGCCAGGCAGACGCTTTGCCGCTGAGCTAAATCCCCAGCCCCTTAAAAATTTTTTTAAAACAATAATCTAATGAGAATTAATACCCTGAGTACTCAATATGCACTCATGTATGATGTAGCAATGTTTTAGTCAATGACAGACCAAATATAACAGCAAAAGTTCCATGAGATTATAAGGGAGCTGAACAATTTGTATTGCCTAGTGATATGCAGCCAGTTTAACATCATAGCACAATACATGACTCATGTTTTGATGATGCTGATTGTATAGTATATAATACTGGAGAATGATAATATCTTATTGGTGTACGTTTTTATAATACTATACTTTTTATCATTATTTTAGGATATGCTCCTTTACTTACATGAAAAGTGAGTATGGTTAAACTGTATGACATACTATTTACAGTATATAGCAGTAAACAACTTGAGTGTACCACGTCTCTTGATTTCATGATTTTCTCATGCTTGATTTAACCTTGTGTTTTTTTTACTGTGGCTGCAAACGCAATAGCCTCCATCATCTAGGCTGGGTGTGTATACCACGTAGTTCAGGTGTGTAGTAAGCTGAACCATCTAGGTTTGTGTAAGTATACTTCTATGATGTTTGCACAGTGATGCACTCCTCAGAACACATACTCATCATTAAGTGGCACATGACTGTATATAGAAAATTCCTAACACAAAAGCAAAAAAAAACAAACTTGATTTTAAAAATGCACAAAGGATTCAGTGGATAAAGATCTATCCCCCATTCCTTGCTACTTTAGATCTCTATATCTGAGAAACTAGTTTACTTTTAATCTACAATGTTTACACTCATAAAAAAAAAATTCCTAAAAAGTTTAGAAAACTTACAGAGCAGACTTTCCTGTGCGGGGATCTATATAGGTGGTTGTTCTTCTATTGTGGTCTACAAAATATGGAATTCCATCCACTGTGAATCTCATTTCCCAGCCTTCGGGCAAGGGTTTTTCATTTAGTTGACTATAAAATACAGAAGAAAAGTATAACAAAATACACATCCAGTATTTTACTAGACATCTCTATCTGAACATCCCACAAACACATTAAACTCATTCCTGTCTCCACAGTAACAGTCAAGTCTATTCAGTCTCCCACCATATTTTTCCCTATGTTCATCCATCTACTTAATAAAATCACCTTAAACATTTCATGGTTACTAAGCTCTACTCATCCTCCCATAGAAGTCTTCATATTCACACTGATTTTCAACCTGCAACACCACTTTCTTCTAAACTTTCTCAACAGCTATCTAATGGGTTTTCCTACTACTAGTCTCATTCTAGCCCTACACTTACATTAGTATTGCTTATCTTTCTAAAATTGAGATCTCATCCACTTACTTCTCCCTTTAAAATGCTATTATTGTTCCATCACTGCCAATAATAAGATCTAAACTCCCCCATTTGGCATTCACTCAGCCTCTATACTTTAGCTTCAATGGTCCATTTCAGATTTATCTCTGCACCCAAACAGTTGGCTCCCTTCCATGAATCCTATGATTTCATGTCACATGGCTACTCAATACTTCCCCAAACAAGACGTGATCTATCACATCTCCAAATGAAGCCTTTCTCTTTGTCCTAAAACTCCTTCTTCCATTAAGACAACTCAAAAGTTCTTTATGAAATTTTCATATGTACTTCTTTAATACGGATCTTTATACCTTGAAAACCCTGTGTCATGGACAAGCTGTTTGATCTGTCTACACCAGTATCTTTATCCATAAAATGGATGTAATGATATTATGTACAAAGACTATATGACGAATGAGACAAGTAAAAAGTTTAACAGAAATTAAGCCCTAAAATTTTAACTATTAGTATTTTTCCTCCTACTATTACAGATTTGTTTTCTTCAGGTCTCTCAAAATTCTTTCTATATACTGCTAGCACAGCACTCATCACCTTTCAGTTTGTCTGTTTGGCAACAACTTCACCCTGGCAAAAATTACCTGAGTTTTATAACAGTAACAAGGTTATCTGACAGTAGTGAGTTATAGAAATGACTATTTTGTTTAATCTGTTATACATTATAATAACGGAGGAATTAGCATAAATATTCAAAACCTCTTGCTAGTGAACCTAAGAATTTTATTTTTATATTTGAAAATCTTACATGAAAGTGAACAGGGAACTAGTGAATACCTCTTTTGCTGCCTATGTATATTCTGACATAAATGGCAGGGTTTTTTTAATTGATTAGGTAAAATAAATGTTGCAATTTGTATCCATATATGCCACTTCATTTTTGTCTATTTTACAGCTTCAATTTTCTCATCTCATAAGTTTAATATGAGAGATCAGTGGAAATATTCACATTCACATCAGAAAGGGAGAATATGGAGGACTTCAGGCTCACTGCTATACAGAGCCACCATTCCTGTTAGGAGTGTCATTTTCCTCAAATGCATTTCAGAAGAAAAACCACAGCTTTGAATCATACTTTGTAGAGCACACCAAAATGTTAAGAATATTTAGCAATATTCCTCTTATTGAATACAACTATCACATAAAATACACTACCAAAAATATGAAAAAGAGGATTCTCTTTTGTTATTATTACAAGATAGGCTTAGTAACAAGTTGTCTTTTTAAAAATTAGACCTAGGTCACTTATAGTATTTGTAAAAACTTGATTCTACTTTTAGAAACTTCAAACTCTGAAACTTATAAAGTCCAAGGGGGAGTCAAAAATGGTAGCAAATTTCATAAAGGTGATTTGTTCAATTCTATACTTAAAGACAGTTTTGTGTTACTCCTTTGGCAAACTTGAATACATTCAAGTTAAACGCAGTAAGTCCATTAAAAAAAAAAAAAAAGTCATTATCTGTTGGCATCCAGAAAACGGTATATTGAATTTAAAGTGCATCTTCAGAACGTGAGTTACTGAAATTTCTAAGTCAAGGAATGTGTGTATCTCATATACCAGTGAGGTCGTTTTTTATTTTTCTTAATCTTAAGAAAGTCTTAAACTTTTCATTACAGGGAAGTAACGATTTGTTTCCTTTAAAGTATGCCGGTGATGAAGAATTAACCATAAGCAAAGACAGGTCTGGTCTTTGCCCTAAACTAGTAAGAGGTGATCTACCAGGTGTGTGCCTGCTCTAAGTCTGCTTGTGGGCTTTAATAAACTCACAAATGGACACTCAACGAAGTGACTGATAAACGGAGGCTGGGGACATTCTATATCACTTCTGACCTGTAGAGCAATTAGATGTTAGGGTCTTATTCCAAACTCCCAGGAAGGGTCAGAGACAAAAGGTCATCCAGGGCTGGGGATTTAGCTGAGCGGCACAGCGCCTGCCTGGCAAGGGCAAGGTTGTGAGTTTGATTCCCGGTACCAGAAAAAAAAAAAAAAAAAAAAAAAAAAAACCAAAAACAAAACAAACAAAAAAAGGTCATCCAAAAGGAACAAGCACAAATAAAAATTTCTGGACACCAGAGACGTCTCTGGTTGGCAATACTAAGCATCAGTGATTTCATATCAATGTGGGATGTTGGGAGTCCGCCCAGATTCTGCTTTTTCTTTCTTCTGCAGTTCTACTTTGTATTCTTTCTGTATAGTAATATAGACTGTGAATATAATAGGTTTCATTGAATTTTGAGTATTTCCACTGAATTTTTACCTGAAAATGACTGTGGCAGAATTTGTAGGCAGTTACTCTGAAATAAGAGTGGTCTTGGGGGCCTACTAATTAGACTTTTGGTTAATGCCTAAATTGACTGTGCAGTTTGCCAAATTCTTCACAAAATGGAACTATCTGGCAATATGATAAATGAATAGTATTAAAGACTGTTCTGAATTAAAAATGTTTCCCCTCTAAATGTTTATGTTTAAGTCCTGGCCACCAATACCTCAGAATGTTACCTTATTTGGAAATATGACCACTGCAAATGTACTATGTAATATGAAGTTATACTGGAGATGATGGGTCATTAATTCTGTAAAATTGGTATTCTTATAGTAAGAGGAAATTTGGACACAGAAACATCTACACAGGAAGAAAGCCATGTGAAGACTAGAAATAGGCTGACACCAAGCCAAGGAACTACAAGAAGTTAGGAGACAGATCTGGGACAGATCTTACCCTAGTGCTTTCAGAGAAAGCACTGCCCTGATGACACTGTGATCCTGGACTTCTGGCCTCTAGAACTGTAAGATAATTTCTATTGTTTATAACACTCTATTTGTGGTGTACTTTGTTAAACTGGCCCTAGCAAATTAACAGATAGACTATTATATGTTACTAAGATAAGCAGTTATATGTACATAGTTATCAAAATACTGAAAAGACAAACTTGCAATAAGATATCTCTATCAATACATTGGTAACTTGTGTTGTTTTTACTTGCAATTTCTTATAATATGTGTAAACAGTATTTTGCAATATGTGCATCAACTACTGAATATTTTTAAAACTGTGCAATTTCTACTGCTGGCAAACTTTTGGGTAATGCTAATTCTAATAGGTTATAGTAGAATTCTACTAGGTTACAACAGAAGGAAATACTAATTTTAGGTAAAGGTTGGTGAAACTAAATATGTAATATTTCCTCCAAGTCACATCTCCAGTTCTATGCAGTGATCTCAGAGGAAATTCTGCTTTAGAATTTCTAATCTAAACTTGCTAAGAATAAGTATATATAAGTAAATATGTGGATGTAAATGTATCTCATATACCAGTGAGGTGGTTTTTTTATTTTTCTTAATCTTAAGAAAGTCTTAAACTTTTCATTACAGGGAAGTAATGATTTGTTTCCTTTAAAGTATGCCGGTGATGAATGTTTAACGGGGGAAAGTATATAACTGAGTCAGAAAGAGGTAGACAATCTTAAAGAGGTTATATACACACTAGAACTGAAAGTTCTTACCCTTGACTTCTGGGGTCTTCCCACTGTGTAATTCGAGTGTTGTGATTGACAAAATACACTCTGCCATTGCTATCAGTTCTCTTCTCTTTATTACAAACAAACAAAGCAAAGCATTAATGTTGGCATAATCTTTTTCTTCAAATCTTAAATGAACTAAATTTACATGTCTTGTTGCACTGCTGATTTTATAGTTTCTATATCACATCTTAAAAAGTTATTTGACTACTGAATGCACATAATTACTAAAGTTATAGAAATATTATTACATCCTAGAAGCTAAACTGATATAATTCACAATGTCCTGCCCATAGGGCCTTTCAGTTTAGTCAAATCAACAGCAGCAAAGTTACAATTACTTAGCTTTTCACACATGACCTCACTTTATTTATTATTTATTTTTGTGGTGCTGGGGATTGAACCTAGTGCCTTTACATTTGAGACAAGCACTCTACCACTGAGCCACACCTTCAGCTCAACCTCAGTTTATTCATAACTGCCCCATTGAGTATGTGGTTTTAGTTTTATTCTGACAATAATGCTCAGGTTAAGAGAGCTACCTAAAACCTCAGAATTAAGTATCAGAGATGAGATGAAAACTGGGGTCTCCATTCAGGAATTCTTTCCCCTTACATCACTTCATTTCTTAAAATATAATTGAGGGGTGGGAGTAACTTGGTTTCTTTCTTTTGCAGTGGTAGGAATCATACATTAGACCTTGCACATGCCATGCAAACACTCTCTGAGCTACACTCCCAGCCTTCAAATTTTAAAAAATATTGTTACTTAATATACCCAGTTATAAAATCCTAAATATCTGCAGTAACTTTTAGTCCATGGACTAGTAAGGCTCAGATATTTAATTATTACACCTAAAGCTGTGCTTATGCCCCTCTTTGCCTCTTGCGTTAGGTTTCTTGCTCCCATTTCATAGACTTTTGCCTGCTTTTCTGAGCTTTCCCCATTAAGGTTTAGAAGACATATAGATATTATTTTTTCATATAATAAGCAAATCAAATAGCTTTCAACTTTTAATTTTAAGATCTGCTATCTTTAACCTACTGATTTTTCTATTTATTATCAACTCACTCTTTTAAAAGAATTCCTATATGCGTTGGCCAACATGTCTAAAAGTGAGTAATTGATATATTAAAGATTATAGGACAGATTCAAGCTTTTAAAAAAAGCACACTTTCTAAGAATTAGCAATGTTCAATCAAAATACTGAGTTTAATGCCATGTTGAGAAAGTTAACTTTTATGTTCTGTAGTTTCAAAAACTGATGTCCATTTTTCAAATAATACATATATATATTGTTTGTTTGTTTACAAAGGGTCTCACTATGCATTTCAGGCTGGTCTTGAACTCAACTTTGTAGCCCAGGCTGATCTTGAACTCGCAATGATCCTCCGGCCTTAGCCTCCACAGTGCTGGGATTACATGCATGCACCATCACACCCATATATCCATATCTATATATCTATATTGACCTATACAGATATATAGATATATAGATATAGATATATCTATATATAGATAGATATTTCAGATCTTTCTTCAAGCAAGATATCACAGAATGAGTCTTAAGCCAAATTATACCTTGTCAACCTAGTATTTTGTAACAAAAGTATTTCCAGTGTTAATTCTATTATTTCAAGTACCAGTGCTATTATGATATACTAGTGAGTATCATGAATCTACTCCTGACATCTCAGCTACCCACTACATCAAACAAGCCTAAAATCCAGCCAGGCATGGTGGTGCACACCTGTAATCCTTGCCCTCGGCAGACTGAGGCAGGAGGATCATTGCGAGTTTGAGACCAGCCTGGGTTACAAAGTGAGGTCAAGGGGGCTGGGGATTTAGCTCAGTGGCAAAGCGCCTGCCTGGCAAGCGCAAGGTCGTGAGTTTGGTTCCTGGTACCAGAGAAAAACCAAAAAAAAAAAAAAAAAAAAAAAAGTGAGGTCAAGGCCAGCCTGAACTGCATAGTGAGACCCAGTTTCAAAAGACAAAAAATAAAAAAATAAAATCCAGGTGTGACCCAGGTATAGTGCTACACACCTGTAATCCAGCACTCAGGAGGCTAAGGCAGGAGGATTATTGTGAGTTTTAGGCTAGTCTGGGCTACAGAGGGAGTTCACGGATAGCCTAGACTACATAGACAGAACTTTTCTCAAAAAAACAAAATGACAACAACAAAATCCAGGTGCGCAAAACACACACAAAAATGGAATTCTGTGTCTTGTGACCCATTCTGAATATTAATACAGGCTTTGCTGATCAAGACCTGAAGTGTAGAAAAATGTTATCAACTCTAAAGCTATCACTTTTAAAGAAACCACTTTGAAGATATCAATATGTAATACAACAAGCCATGTGAAGACTAGAAATAGGCTGACACCAAGTTAATTTCCTACCACTTTGTTTGTAACTCTGTATTGTCTGTACTGTTCTTTTGCTATTTTGTAAAGTGCTGTCTGTCTGTTAATGTTTTCCTTTTATTTAAAAAAAAAAACAAACAAAAAAAACCAAAACTAAAGCTATCTTGTAAATAAAAATAGGCACCCACAATGCTATAGTTTGCATAGTCTGTTACATGACAGCAAGGTAAATTCATACCTTGGGAATTTAGTAAGTTTTAAAATTTTTCACTTATTTGAAGAATCTAGAATTGCCTTTTTGTTTAAAAATATGTACTCAAATTTTTTGAAAAAAAATTATTTTTTGTAGTACTTAGGGACTGAAAGTAGGGCCTACAGCAGGCTAGGCACACATTCTACCACTGAGTTGCACTTCTAAAATAATTTTTATAACATAAAAGCATAACCTAAGAGCACAGTTGAGCATATATTCATCTTTTATCTGTCATGTCAATTCAGATTTCAGGGTGAGAGATTTTTCCCTTCAGAAACTCACATGATGCAAGACAATAACAGTTTGCTTACCATATATATTCTAAGTATATGATGCAAACATGAGCATTTCTCAGAAGAGGTTATGAAAAACAAAATTTCAAAGATGAACACATTTGAAAACTGAATGCTCACTTAATGAGAGGAAGAGCTATTACTACAGAGTTGATTTCTTACTGTTAAGAAAAACCACACAATGAACAATATTGACTTTACTGAACATCAAATCTGAATGTATATCTTGCACTTCAATACATCAGTAAAACAGAGGCTTCTTGCTACTCTATGCATTCTTTCATAACAATATGAAAATGAAAAATTACCTTTACATTTAATGGGTAATCCAGGTATACAAAACCTTATTAAACCACATATTTCAATCAAAAGCATTCTTTGAGCTGGGCATGGTGGCATATGCCTGTAATCCCAGCCCCTGGGAGGCAGAGGCAGGAGACTCCCTGGGAATTTGAGGTTAGTCTGGGCTATAAAGTGAGTCAAAGGCCAGCTTGAACTGCACAGTGAGATCCTGCTGCAAAGAGACAAGACCAAAAAACAAAACAAACAAAAAAAAAACCAAAACCAAAACCCACAAAACACCCTTTGTTCTTTAGCCCCTATAGTATGTGTGTGCTAGAAGTTCTTTACTGTCAACTTGTAGGTGGTAATACCTTCCCTAGCACATACAAGTTGAAGATGGTTACAAAGTTGGATTTAAATATATATGCTGTCACAAAAATAATGCTGTCATGTCTATCTCAGAACAAAAACAAAGGATTCAATATCTTGTGACAATACTGAAGATATAGCAGGTGGATCTCATCTGATATAGGACCAGTGTTATCTCTGGTTCTACAAGTAAGGCATGTATTGCAAAGACAGGGAGTCATAAAATAATCCCTAACCTGAACAGTGGGATGACTGTGAACTCATTTAGGAAGAGGACAAGGGCTGCAGAAATGGGTCAGTGGCATATGCGCCTGCCTGGCAAGGGTAAGGTCCTGAGTTCAATTCCTGGTACAAAAAAAAAGTTAAATAGGTGACAAAATTTCACAGGGCATGGTGGTACATGCCTGTAATCCCAGCACTTTGGAGGCTGAGGACAGGAGGATGGTTTTGAGTTCAAGGTCAGCTTGGGTTATAAAATGAGCTCAAGGCCAGCCTGAACTGCATAGCGAGACCCTGTCTCAAAAAGGGGAAAAAAAAAAAAAAGGACAGCATTTCAAAAGTTTAGGCATGTGAAACCTAAAAATAGGCAGACTGTAAAATAGGGAGGGCAAGCTGATAACCTATATAAGAAGCTTGGTCTTTAAAGGCAGTATTTTAAGAAAAGTGTCATTGGCTAAAGCAAAAATGAGAAAGATCTGGATGATGAAGATAATGATAAAGAAAGCAACCAAGGACCAGAAAGAAAAGCTTTTCTAATAAAGGCAACATAGCCCACAATTCAGGCTTCTATGAACAAGTAAGTTTTCCTACAGCTGCTCTAGAAGACTAAAAGTCTTTGTTTTTAACCAGCACCATGAAATAGGACATTGTTTTTCTGCAATGAAATTAAAGAAGTAAATATATATATATATATCCTTCAGATATGTCCCTCTAGTGAATCAACTTCTCCTTCTGTATGGATATACAACAACTGTAGAAATAAAGCCAAGCAAACCAGCCTCATCTAGGAACCTGACAGGTCAGGTTCAATATGCCTCCTAAGGGCAGGGCTCCAATAAAGCCAGAATACCACCAGGCTTCGGTAAAGACAGAAAGTACTTTCATGCGTCCTCCCTTTGTTGTGAGTAACAGCAACAGTTATAAGTAAGGCCTAATACACTTTTCACCTTTGACTCACAGGATGGTTTAGAGGGTAAATAACCTTAATAAATAAGCAATGGAATTTTTCAAAATTTATACAACCAGTATCATTTATTGTTCAGATTCATGTGATCTTGACATGTCAATCTTTTTCTTCATTTACTCAGTAGTGTTAGAGTAATTACCTTTGGACCAACGCTTCCAAACAAGACTATCTTGAAATGCCACTTTTTAATTAACCAGAATATGATAAATTAGCCAGGCATGATGGTACACACTTGTAATCCCAGCACTCAGGAGGGTGAGGCAGGAAAACTGCATGGGATACACACTGAGTTCAAGGTCACCTCAACTACACAGCCTCAAAAAAAAATTATAAATTATCTGCTGCTCTTTAAGATAAAACACCCAATCCCATAATTGGCTTTGCCTTGCTGTTTTCCACTGCCTATACTCTCTTTAGCTTTCATCCAAAACTGTATACAGAGTGCACCAAAAAAATCTATACACACTTCAGCAGTTTGCAATATTAATAAATGTTTGGAACCTAATGGCCACCACTTTGAGCACCTTTTGTAACTGCAGAAGCTAAAGGTAACTTGTATTACTATCATGATGTTTCAATGCCATATACTTATACTGCCATTTTTATTCTGGAATCTTGCCACAGCACTATGACTACTATACAGTATTAACACTATAAAACAAAATTTGGTAGAATAGCTCTATCGAATAGTTACTAATTAAATATTAATAGTTCTAATAATTGAGATATTAAATGTACTATCAGGGCATATTCATATGCTCCATTGTGGAGGCATGAAATCACATCCTCACATATTCTCCTTTCACTGTCCTTTAAAATACTGCTAAGTCAATCAGATTCATAACTGTACCTTAGAAGAACGCAAGACTGTTGTACCTACCATGTGCTCAGGACCTAGGTTCAATCCCCAGCATCACAAACAAATAAACAAATAAATAAAACTGTACAGTCTCAACATACCCTTTTAAGCAGTTTCTCCAATTGGTGACATTTTAGCTAGCTGCAGTGCAATATCAAAAATAAGAAACTGACATTGGTATATTTCTGTTAACTATATTGTTCAATGTTCACCATTTTGAAAAGATAATTCATGTACAAGAATATATAATCCTACGTATTTTTATCTCATGTATACATTCATGGCATCACTACCACAATCAAGTTGTAGAACTTTTCCATCATCACATAAGAACTCTTATGTTACTATTTATATTTGCACTTACCTCCCACCCATCTCATCCCCTGACAACTAGTAATCTGTTTTCTACCTATAGTTTTGTCATTTTGGGAATCGTGTATTAATTTAATCCTATAGTACTATAGTATAGTTTGGATATGGTTCGAGTATTTTCCAAGGGTTATAAAACTTGGTCCTCAGTGTGGCAATGTTGGGAGGTGGTGGAACTTTAAGAGTCAGAAAAAAGTGGGAAGTAATTAGGTCACTGTGGGTGTGCCTTTAGAAGGGACTTAAAGTCTCATTATTAACGTCTTGACACATGATCTCCCTCTCTCACATGTACTAGCACCGCTGTGATGGCATCTGAGATAAGGTCTTCACCAGAGCCATGCAGAAGCCCGCACCATGCCCCTGAAATTCTAGTAACATTAACAAAGTATCTTTTGTTTATAAAGTACCTACCTAGCCTCAGGTATTTGGTTATAACAGAAACTAGAATGATACAAGTATAAAATTTCCTGAGAACAACTTCCGCTTCTTCTTTTTTTTTTTTTTGAGAACAACTTCTTCTCTAAGCACAATGCTTTCTGCTGGATGTGGTGTTATACATTTATAATCCTAACTACTCAGAGGCTGAGACAGGAAAAATGTCAGTTCAAGGGCAGCCTGGCCAACATAGTATTTTATTGCAAAATAAAGAATAAAAGAGGGGATGTATCTCAGTGTAGTCATTCCTTAGAACCACCACCAACAAACAACAACAAAACCACACAATGCCCTTGAGATCCATGTAAATTGCTATATCAATAGTTCATGCACTTTTTATTGCTGTGTGATCAATATTTTTAAACTTTGGAAGAGTAAAATAATTTTCATTTCCAACTAAACTGTATTGTAATGCACTAACTTAAAACATTTAGGGATTTTAATGCACATTTGGCACTATGAGTTAAACTGATACATCCACAAACTTCTCATCTATTCACTCAAACAGAAGTAAATTATGAGATAGAAACATTTTTAAAATGACAGAACATGAAGAAAAATATCCATGTGACTTACCCCATCCAGGTGGCAAAGGACCAAGGGGATCAAATTCTTTATTTTGTGATGTAGCAAATAAATCCTGATTCTACAAAGAACCAGAAAATGGTGAAATTATAAACAGATTATTTCGGAGCAAGCTTAACCCCTAATACGCCTTCCTTGGCAAGTTACAGCATACATTCTCTTGCACAGTTCACACTGTGGAGAAGTGTCACACAGTTGGTTATGACAGGTTTTTCCTTTTGCTACTTTTACTATATCAGTAACATTAAAAATTAGAAAGATGTATCAGCTGGGTGTGGTGGCCCATGCCTGTAATTCCAGCACTCGGGAGGCTGAGGCAGGAGGACCACTGCAAAGAAACCAGGCTGAGCTCAAGGCCAGCCTGAATTGCATAGCGACAGCCTGCTCAAAAAGAACCAAAAAAAAAGAGGAAAAAAAGAAAAAAAAAAATAAAGCATCATTTCAACCTACACATTTTAGTATGCATCCCTAAAATGTGTAGACATTTCCTTACAGAATCTCAGTGTTATCGCATCTAGCAGAGAATCAATGTTAATTTTGTGTTTATCTATACCTAATCCATGGTTAAATCCCTGATTGCTTACTTGTTAAACCCAGAGTCCACAGAGCCAGGTGTGATGGCGCATTCGTGTAATTCCAGACACAAGGGAGAGGCTAGCAAGATCAAGGCCAGCTTGCAGAATTTAGCTATATCTGCTCTCAAAGTAAAAACGGCTGAGGATACAGCTTAGCACTCCTGGACTTAATTCCCAGTATTATAAACACCAAAAATCTGCAGCCAAAGTTCAAATATTACACGTGATTGGGTACTGTGAGTCTCAAAACTCGAGCTGCAACCTCACTGTCCTACCTTTTTTTCTCCTATGTCACTGATCTATTACAAAAACCAATCAGTTGATGACATTTTAAATAATAGAGCCAGGTGTGGTGGTGCACACCTGTAATCCCAGCACTCAGGAAGCTGAGGCAGGATGATTGCTGTGAGTTTGAGGAAAAAGAAAAAAAGAATATGAGATATTTTATTTCTGAAATTAAGAGCATGTGAACACAGAGCTGTCAATCTTACTCTTCTTTACAACCAATTATGAAAAGGAGAGAAGAGAGGCCATGCTATAGATCAGGTCTATAAAGTTTGACATATAACATGCCAGGAATGTTGGTGCAGCACTCAGAAGGCTGAGGCAGGAAGATTGCTGTAAATTCAAGGCCAAGCCTGGGCTACACAGTAAGTTTAAGGACAGTCTGAACTACTTAGCAAAACACTGTCTCAAAAAAAGCAAAAGAAGGGGCTGGGGATTTAGCTCAGCGGCACAGCGCCTGCCTGGCAAGGGCGAGGTCGTGAGTTTGATTCCTGGTACTTGGGGGAGTTGGGCAAAGCAAAAGAAAAGTCTGACACACAACAAAATTGATAATTCTTTAAGACCCAAGCCTAAACCACTGGCTCTCTTTGGACAGATAATCTAGAATATGCACGCCTGAGCCTGGAAAAATCATTACATAATATTTCACTATGAACAGTATCTATTTAAGGTTCAAACACAGGGTGTCAAAAAAAGAACTGAATGAATGAGAAACTGAGGAGGAATGGGGAGGAGGGAGGAAGGGGCAGGGCAAAGGAGAGGGGAGAAGAAGCCAAACAGCATATATGAATTTACTCCCCTGTAACCAGGGACAGAGAAATGGTGGACAAACACCACTTCATATATCCAGTAAACAGATTATTTCTCAGCAATACGCCACAACTTCTTAGTTACATGATATTAAGAAAGTTAAATTCACTTAATTCAGTCCACATTTTGATTATTTTGAGAGTAAGGAAAACTGTTTAAATGCTGCATAATTTAGAACCACTCTAACAGAAACAAACAAAATTTTAGGAAATTGGTCAGATTCTTTTGGATAGGAGAAAAACAGAATATGAGTGAAGAGAAAAAACCTGTTATTCTTAAAAAGTTCCAAAGACTGTGAATACTAAATTGGTCAAATTTACAATGACTCAATATACACAGTAACTGCTGCCAAAATATAATAAAGGGCATGCTTACAGTTGTGGATAGGAGGGAGAGAAGAAATGACAATTTTAAGCATTTAGTGCCTGCTAAACACATTAGGAACTTTATAAAATCTGTTTAAAAAAAATAACCTGAGGCAATTAAATATGCATTTATATTACATATAAGGTAAACAAGTCTTGATGGAGTTTAGTAACTTAAACTCAAATACAGAAAGTAACTGTGAAACCAGGATTTGAACCCCAATTGGTCTAATTCCAAAGCCCATGTTCTTTCCACTAGACTCCTGTGTAAAAACTAGTTTTACAAAAGGAGGTAAGGTAGGCATTCAAACCTAGAAGAAGTCCGGTGAGGCATATCGAAGGTAATTATAATTTAGAAAGAAAGGAAAATATAAAACATTTAAAAAAATGAAAAGGGTAAGAGAGACAAGAGAAAAAATTAATTTCACCTCTCAAACCTAGCAAGGGGAATATACTGACATCTGTCTAGAAAAAGTGGCAGGAAAAATTGATATAAGAAAATGTCCTAGTCATAACCAGGAATGAAGGGCAGGCTGCTGATAAAGACAATCTGTTTTTATTATTAAGTGCTAACTACAAAATTATGATGATGAGACATAAAAATCAGGCAGGACTCAGACAGATAAGGGTGTGACAAATCTGGCTGGGGAAGTAGGCATGACCTGTTAATTACAAGATTCCAGCTGGGCATGGTGGCACATAGAGGTAATCCCAGCACTGGGGAGGCTGAGGGAGGAGGATTGTTGCAAGTTCAAGGCCAGCCTGGGCTACAAAGTGAGCTCAAGGCCAGCCTGAACTGTGTAGCGAGACCTTGTATCAAAAAGACAAAAAAATAAAAAAATAAGATTTCAGAACACAAGCAAAGAACAGTTCCCAAAGCCCTGAACATAGACTTCTAGGAGAACCTGAGTGAGTTTTTCAAAAAATGGCCTAGACCTGACATCCGCCTGAGGCTGGGATCCCAGCACTGCCTCTCATGACCTGTATGCAAAAATTCTCAAGGATTTCCTTGCTATTTTGGCAGCATAAAAGGACACAGACATGCTCACTTTGGCAGCACATATATTAAACTGGAAAAGGACACAGACGCCGTGAAGAGCTTGCTATTGTGGCTTTCCTCACAATAGCCATCCTGTGTCCTCCAGGGTATACTTTCATCTTGCTTTTTTCTTTGAATCAGCCCAAGCTCACTCTGTAGAGCCAGTGAGTTTCTCTTTTCACTTTTACAAATATACTTTGTAAAAAAAAAAAAAATTAAAAAAAAAAAATGATATACTTTATCACTGTTTTGGGGTTTTTTTTTTTTGCTTGTTTTGTTCAATTCTTTGAGATGAGAAGAACCTAGAATCCAACTCAAGAAGAGATGAGCAACCTAAAACCCAATAAGGTTTATTTGGTGAGATACTTTTTTTTCATTCATTCATCCATCCATCCATCCATCCATCCATTTATTTATGGTCTTTTTGAGACAGTCTTGCTGTGTGGTTCAGGCTGGCCTTGAGCTCACTTTGTAGCCCAGGCTGGTCTAGAACTTGCAACAATCCTCCTGCCTCAGCCTCCCAATGGTGAGATTACAGACGTGTGCCACCACACCCGGCTTGGTGAGCCACTTTTAAAGGGAGCTACATAGTAACAGGATTATGGAGAAAAGGAAAAAAAAAAATGCCTAATCAAGAATATGAAAGGTATTGCTTTATTCTGATGGAATCTAATAGGGATGATACCAACATTGGTAAAGAGGTTACAATGGCAATGGAGAGCATCAGTGTCTCTAAAATGATTGCAGTTGGTTTTCTATTTTAAATTTCTTTTTTTTTTTTTTTTTTTATGACAGGGTCTCACTATGTAGTTCAGGCTGGCCTTGAACTCACTATGTAGCCCAGGCCTACCTCCATCTCATGGTGATCCTCCTGGCTCAGCCTTCCAAGTGCTGGGATTATGCATGTGCTACCATGGCTGGGTACAGTTGGTTTTCTTCTTTTTAAATTCTACATGTTACACAAATTCACCTTGTTTGGCACAGAGTATTAAGTTTCTCATCAAACTATTTACTGCCAGGCATGCTGGCACCCACTTGTAATCCCAGCACTTGGGAGGCTGAGGCAGGAGGATCATTGCAAAGCCAGCCTGGGCTACACTGTAAGACTGTCTCAAAAAAACCATACCAAACCAAAAAAACCAAAAACAAAACTGTCTATTTACTACTGCCCTTTCCTCAGAGTAAAGGTCCATGATACTTTATGAATTCAGAAATTATAGATTTCCTAGTAGCAAAGATTGCGTAACAAAGAAAGCACAATATATTTTGGTGTACTTATCATGATTGCTGCAATACTACTCTAAAGGAAAACAGGTAAAATTTAAACCTCTTCTGTTGTTTGTTTTTAGTGGTACGGGGATTGAACCCAGAACCTTTGTACCAAACTATACCTCCAGCCCTTTTTTAATTTTTTCTTTGAGAGCAGATCTCACTAAGATGCTAATTTCTCAGGCTGGGCTCAAACTTGAAATCCTCCTGTCTCCACCTTCCAGAGAGCTGGGATTATAAGTATGCACTACCATACCAAACCCCTAACCATCCGTTTCTATAAAGGAAGTACTTTTATACCAAAGATAATATTGATCCGAAGCCAGAAAAATGTATTTACCATAATCTTGCGAGGAATAAAATTTTTTCAGTCTTTCCAAACATCAAAAAATTTATTAGGGTAAATTTTCTTCTTAACTGTTAAAAAGTGATTCTGCTCCATCATTAATTCTGCACAACCCCTTAAAAGTCAGGTTCTCCGAGACTCAGGTTTTCAAATATTCTAGTAAATTAAAGGCAGTACTTAGAATTGTTTCATTCTTTTCAGACTGCTTGGGTCTATTTCTATGCTTTTGTTCATGAATTTTAAGTTGTCCTAGCTCCTATTTTTGGTTTATTTTTAACAATAATAAAGGAAAGGAGGTTGAACTTTAGGAAATTACACAAAGAATAGATCACATAAATAGAATAATCCAGACAAGTCTAAAAATAACACTGCGAATAATAACATGAATAGCAATAAATGGATTATCAACCTACTTGAACCTTGATTATAGTGCTTTACAAACATATGCAGGAAATATTTAAAATCTGAATTCGTTATCATAATCAGCAAATGAACAGACTGCTCACCCCATAAATGAACCTCTGGTTAAACTGCTGCATTGCTCCTTGCAGTTGACTGCGTTGTAGCTGCCACTGCTCATAGTTCCGGACAGATTCTAATGTTGGCCTCTGCCATGTTGTTGTTCTTGTGAAATGGTCAACATAATAAATACGTCCCATATTGTCAACCCGCCGTTCCCAACTAAATCAGACAAAAACAAATTAATTCAACAAATACTTGTGAAACAGATGTAAGATTTTTACCTTGAGAAAGTACTTCTGATTTTTTTTAACTACTCCTGATTTACCTGAAGTCTTAGGACATATTTTTTTCAAACTGTAAGTGAAGGACTGGGGATATAGCTCAGTGGCATAAGCGCCTGCCTGGCAAGCACAAGGTCCTGAGATTGATTCCCAGTACCAAAAAAAAACTTAAAAAAAAATTGTAAGTGAACTTAAAAGGAACATTTCTAAAACTGTATTTTAGCCAGGTGTAGTAGCGCAAGCCTATAATCCCAGCACTTGGGAGGCTGAGGCAGAAGGATTGTTGCGAGTTCGAGACCAGCCTGGGCTACAAAGTGAGCTCAAGACCAGCCTAAACTGCATAGCGAGACTCAGTCTCAAGGCAAAAAAAAGAAAAGAAAAAAAAAAGAAAAGAAAAATTATAGTTGTAGTACCTGGATCTTTAAAATTTAATGCATATTCAGTGAGTTAGTCTCTAAAAAGTCATTAAGAAAAAAGTTCTGTTTCTTTTCAGTGATCTTTTAATACTGTTCTAATCACAATAGGCACACAAATTGTATATACAGCTTTCACAGACAACAAAAACTACTTTTGTGCATGAATGTAATTATCTTTTCCTTAAGTAAAGGCTGATACAGTAAGTTGATGATTTCTACCTGGTTGGTCATTTAGGACTGTTTCCAATATTCTGATATTATAAATAAAATAACAAATACTTTTAATACAGCAAACTTTCTTTCTTCTTTTGAATTATTGCTTTAGAATAAATTTCCCACAAAAAATTACTAAGGATATACACTACCATGAAGAAAATTCTGTAAGAACTGTAACTAATTTACACTATTAATGTTAAAAGGTAAAGTTCCTCACCATCATTTGCCATTCATCTAATAAGCAAACAGTAACTTTTAAGTGTGTGTTTCCAAGGTTATGTATTTTTCCATGTTTGCTAAAACTTAAAAATAGCCTTTCATCCAATTATTTTATGTAATATGAATGCTAAATGCTTAATATCATATATTAACAGATCCCAAAGTTCCCAATGATTCTGCAAAAGCTTTATTACTACTCAATTTTTTTATATAACAACTTTATAGTAACATATATATGATGGCAATTATAATTTTTTATTCAGTTAAATAATTACTTTTGAAGGAACTAATTTTAAAATTTTGTTGCTTTGAGCCAGGTAAACAGTCCAGACAGATAAATTTGTGGGGTTTTTTTGTTTGTTTCTTGAGGTGCCAGTGATTGAACCTAATCAACATAATAAATACATCCCATATTGTTAACCCGCCATTCCTACATGCTTTGCGCATGTAGGTAAGCACTCTACCACTGGGCTTCATCCCCAGCCTGGAAAATCTGAAGAACAACTGTGGAATCCTTAGGTCAGAAATTAGTGAAAATAAAATCATTCATTATGCCCTGAATAAATTCTCTAGCTTTCTTCTTTCTAGACTGTTCCTACAACAAAACAAAGTAAATAAAGGACTGAAAGGAAGAAAATTAGGGGTGACAGGAAGTTGTATGCAGCTATAACTTATACTTCTGAATAAACACTTTTATAAGAAGTATAAATGGAGATACTTACCCAGGAGGTAGAGGTTCAGGTCTATCCCATGTTGTTCTTTTTTCAACATGATCTACATAATAAACTCGCCCATGCTGGTCCACTCTTTGTTCCCATCTTAAACAAAACATTAAAAGAATAGCAAAGGCATATGTGTGAGCAGTTTGATTTTGCCCTTACAATGACCATATTATACAACTGAAGAAAACAAGTGTTCTAATGCATAAAAAAGATACCAATAGAATAGAAGAAATAAGATTAGAAATGTCATCTTCTGAGAATGCTACACAATAGGTGAGATTTCTTCAACACAGATGTCTATTCTAGGAGACAGTTTGTATTTCTAGAGCCTTTACATCAGTCTACCTGGGAAACCAGTCAGTCTCAATTTGACCAGATCATAGTCAAGACATAGGAACAGAATGCTGTAATTAATCACAGGAAACCTCAACGAAGTCTAAGCTATATGAAGGGCAACTGTCTGCCTGAAGTTTATGAATACTGAAATCAAAGAATAAAGCTTTTATCAGATGTATCCCTGTACAAAATAGGAAGAAAGTTTACAGACTGGCCAATATAAGAATTCTTGCACGCCTGCATACCCAGCATTAGGGAGGTTGAGGCAGGAGAGCTTTGTGAGTTTGAGGCCAGCCTGGCAAAGTGAGCTCAAGGCCAGCCTGAATTGCATTGTAAGACCCTATCTCAAAAAGACCAAAAATGAATTCTAGTAGTAGGCTTATTCCATAAGTGAAGACAGGGGTAAAGCATCATAACTTGGACATTCCAATAACTTCTAGGAACACCCAGTTTGTTTTTGAACAAAACGTTCAAATTTAGTCTCTCACATAAGCTTTCAAAAAGGAAAAGGAGCCGGGCGCGATGGCGCACAGCTGTAGTCCCAGCACTTGGGAGGCTAAGGCAGGAGGATCGTTGCAAGTTCAAGGCCAGCTTGGACTACAAAGTGAGCTCAAGGCCAGCCTGAACTGCATAGTGAGACCCTGTCTTAAAAAGACAAAAAAAAAGGAAAGGAGTCTAACTACCATGCAAGTATTATACTCTGTGTAACAACTGAAATTCTCATCATGAGTTTATTATCAGTCAATTAATTTTGGTTAGTACTCTGACTTTTATCCTTTTTTTGGTACCAGGAATCAAACTCAGGACCTTACACTTGCTTATGCCACTGAGTTATATCCCCGGCCCAAGACTCCAAGTTTTAGATTAAATTTGAAGGCTATAATGTATATATAAATTATACTTAAGAGTATTATTTGTTTATAAAATGAACTACAGGCCAGGGGTATAATTCAGTGGCACAGGTGCCTGCCTGGCAAGCACAAGGTCCTGAGTTTGATTCCAGGTACCAAGAAAAAGAAAAAAAAAAGTTTCCATACAAAATGAACTACATTTAATAAGTAAAAATTAAAATCGGACTGAGTACCAATTTCTACAGTTCAAATTATCTATTATTACTTTCCTATAATGACTATGTTTAAAAAGTCTATTTGACTTTAAGATGGGATTTTTTTCTCTCTCTCAAAGAAAAGAACAATCTGAATTATGTGATCATTTTATGCTTGGTGTTGGATAACTTCTTATGATTCAGGGTTCTTCAATTTTAAAAAAGTATCCTATTTTTCCCTAGAAATGGGGGACAAAACTTACAAATTAAAATTTCAATTTCTTTAAATTTCAGAAGTCCCAAAATCAATTACAGTTGCTTGAAGACAATTATTGACAAAATGCAGTATTGTTTTCCTAAATAATAAGTATATGCAGAAGCCAAAAGAAAAAAATGTTAACCGAAAAAAGCTGTTTACCCAGGTGGTAGGGGAGCTTGAGTTACAGGATTTAATGGCCTAGGGCCTGAGCCTCCAGATATAGTAAGAGGAATTATTAATCCAGACGTTGCTCCTTCAGCTGTATTTGTATTTGTGTTTGTTGGTGGCAGAGAACATGTACTAGATCCATCACTTTCAGAAGTGGCAGACGGTGAACCATTGACAGATACTATAAAAGATTGGGGAAAAAAGGAAGAGAACTTTTTACTTTCTGAAATCTAAAACCAGGATAGAACTTAACATTAGCATCACATTCTAAGCAACTGAGCCAAGCAGCCAGTGAGAATTTAACTTTTTTTGGTGGGGGGCGGGATACTGGGAATCAAACTCAGGACCTTGCACTTGCCAGGAAGGCACTTGTGCCCCTGAGCTATATCCCCAGCCCCAAGAATTTAACTTTAAAAATAAAAAGACATATAATAAATAAAATTTAAGATGGGGATACACAGTTAAAAATTAAAGAAAATAATGGCAAATAGCCAATGTTCTCTTTTACTAGACTTATTCACAACTTAATTCCCACCTACCCTATGTCACATTTTAAGTACAAGGCACATGCACATTCTGATTTCATGATACCACTGCAAATAAAAAACTTTATTGACTGATGATTGTGTTCATGGTCAAGCCTAGGGCCTTAAGCATGTTACCCAAGCATTCTACTGAGCTATAACCCAGTCCAATAAAAACTATTAGAATAGGAAAGTATTTATATTCCTTGGTATTTTAAGATCATTTAGTAATTTCTCAGATCTTTAATTTCCTATGGAACCCTATAACTTAGAGACTCATTTTTTTGTTTTTATTTTTGTTTTGTGATGCACAAAATTGAACCCAGGACCTGGCACATGGTATGCAAATGCTGTAGCACTAAGCTACATCCCAACTGTTTTGAGACAGGGTCTCACTAAGTTGCCTAGGCTGGCTCTAAAATTTCAGTGTTCATCAGTCTCCTTAAAAGGCAGCATTATTAGGTGAGTATCATGTCTAGCTAGACAACAGTTTTTGATACTAGTTATACAAAATGGCTCACCTGATTGGTAAACTATACATAATATTCTTACAAATAGTCACTGGCTGCATCTTAAAAAACACTTGTTGACAATTTTTTTTTGAGTTAGAGTTTCACTATGTAGTTCAGACTGGCTTTGAATTCACTTTGTAGCCCAGGTTGGCCTTGAACTCAAAGCAATCCTCCTGCCTCAGCCTCCCAAGTGCTGGGATTACATACAGATGTGCATGACTAGGCCAGGCCATTGCCAATTCTTGAAGAAGTCATTAATATAACCAAAAAAATGTATGATCTTAAAGACCTGGGATATATTTTTTAACACAGCTATGGAGAACACGTATTCCAATATGAACTTAATAAAATGATTTGTGGGTCATCTATTGATATTTTTAATAGTATTTGGTTTAATTGTTTTGCATTCCCTACCCACACACTATCAGAGGAAAACAGTAAAAAAGATTAAAGATTTGTTCTGGATAATAGGAAAAAGATATTCTACCTATAGATGTTTTACTTTGATACTATCTAGAATGTCTCTATTTGTATTCTAGTTTTTTTGTTTTTGTTTTTATTTTTTATTTTTTTGGTCCCGGGGATTGAACTCATGACCTCGCACTTGCCAGGTAAGCACTGTGCCGCTGAGCTGTATTCCCAGCTGTATTCTATTTTTTGCTTTAAAATGTGATTATCATTTACCACTGATGGGTTACTAGACATTTACTAATTGTCTTTTTGCCTGTAATTCCAGCACTTGGAAGGCTGAGGCAGGAGGATTACTGTGAATTCAAGGCCAGCTCCAACTACACAGTTCAAGTCCAGCCTGGAATACAGAGCAAGACCCTGTCTCAAAAAATAAACAAAAAAGAAGTCAGCTTCTTGATTGTAAGACATGCATATGTAACACAGATACCATACAAAACAATTACAATCTTATCTGAACTATATATAGCATACATGTGATTTTCATTCTCAATAGAGCACTTAGGAAATTCAGACCCAAAGGAAAAAGTTAGGGAAAAGGCACTTCTTGATTATCTACATGAATGATCATCTTGAACAAATTCTTAAATGTAAAATCTAAACCAGAAAAGTAACTTACAAGGGTCTCTTGACACTTACCTGAGGATCACTTCCCAATTGGAACAATACAAAACTGAGGGCTAGAATACACACCTGGTCTACGAGGGGTGGGTGGAGGTGGTCGTGAGGGTCTCGGAGGTCTAGAAGGTTTGAACCCACCATTTGACAGTGATGGAGAATTGTTCCCATTGACTCTCCTATTTTCACCAGACCCTGCATCTTCAGGGTCTTCCGATCCATTTGTGTTCACTCTGGGTAAAAAGGATGGAAAGGAAAAAGGGGGAAAGAACAATTCTACTTTGAATTTAAGAAAAAGACAGCAGGAAAACCAAGTTTTAAGAGCTGGAGAAGTTTTCTAATTTTAGGTGAGCCTTATCAAAATAACGGAGTCCTTGTATTAAGTTCTATTTAACCCTCAGAGTTAACCTAGACATAGAGTGGTAAGTTAGTCAAGGGAAAAAAATACTTGAGACATTCAAAATTATTGGGTTTGCTGGTTTATATTTCAATTAATCTTCAAAATGCACTATATATGCCAAATGTGGTGGTGCATATCTATAATCCCAGCACTCAAGAGGAGGATCAGCCTGGGCTACCTAGTAAGTTTCAGGCTACCCTGAATAACAAAGTGAGATCCTCTCTCTTTAAAAAAAAGAAAAAGAAAGAAAAAAGAAGAAGGGCCGCGAGATATAGCTCAGTGGCATAAGCGCCAGCCTGGCAAGTGCAAGGTCCTGAGTTCAATTCCTAGTACCAAAAGAAAAGAAAAAAAAGAAGAAACGTTGTATCATGTACAGGTATAAATTCTTTATGATCAATGTGATCATTATACATACCTAAAATGTATCAATAAAATTTGATTGGAAGAAAAAAAGCCCTGTAATAAGCCATTTGAACAAAGTCAAATTCTCAAAATGCAAATTCCATAGAAAAGCCTCTACTTCTATCACAAGCACAGATAACATCACCAGTGTTATTTTCTTTGGCCATACTTAAATTTGAGCAAGAGATGTCCCATGCCAAAAGAAAGAAGTACTTATTTTCTTGGGAGAGAGCACTGCTACCAAGTATCCACAGACTTTTTACAAAGGAACTGTCATTCCTTCAAAGCAATGAAATCAATTAGAAAAAAAGAAAGACACCAATAGGAAATGTCAGGTTGAAAGCTATTACTATTGTCACGGATTAGAAATAAGAACATGAGTGGCCAGTTCAGAGATGTCTGAGGTAAGGCTCTGGTTTTACTACCTACAAACCACTACACAGTTTTAATCTAAATTCCTGAACTTTCAGAACAAAAAGGAACAAAGTAAAATGTAACTGATTCAAGAAACAAAGGTAGTACAATGTATTAAATAATTCTTTCTTTTTTTTTTTTTTTTCTGGTACCAGGAATTGAACTCATGATGTGTGCCACTGAGCTAAATCCCCAGCCCCTGAATAATTCTTTCTGTAATGCATTTACTATAACGTTTCTATTTATTTTTAAAGGTATATTTTTAAATTGTATAACTTTTTTTCCTGTGCTACTGAAGAGTGAACCCAGGGCCTTCACACTGAGCTCCATTCTCAGCCTCTTAAAATTTTTTTTATTTTAAGACAAGGTCTCTCAACAAATGAATGGATAAAAAAGAGGTTTTGAAAAAAATATACTATGTAGTACTACTATGCCATAAAGAATATGGACAAACTTGACATATTTCTAGGTAAATGGATGCACCTTGAGGCCATACTCTTAAGTGAAATAAATAAGACACATATGTTTAAGTATTGTATTATTTTTCCGGTGTGAAAAACCAAAGAGTAAATAAAGACCAAAATGTATAACAGATATTGGGCAAAAGGAAGAAAATGTTCAAATGGGAAAGAGAACAAGGAAGGGAAGAAGGGAAAAGGAAAATAAAGAATAGGAAGAAAAAAAATGGAAGCAAAGCTTTTATAAATCAGGAGGGGAGGAAGAGTGGAAGAGAGGAGAGGGGATTGAGGAAAAAAGAATTAAGATATACTATGTACAGGTACAAATTCCCTATGATGAATGTGATCAATTCTGTATATCTAACATGTATCAATAAAATTAATTTTTAAAAAAGACAAGGTCTTTAAGTTGCCCAGCCTGGGCCAGAACTTGCTATCTTCCTGCCTCAGTCTCTCAGAATGCCGGCATTACAGGCATGCGAAGGAGTTATTTAATCTCTGTACATCTCCAAATATATGGACTACAAATATATGGACTGACTACATGATCCCTAAAAACCTTTCAACTAGAAAATTCACACTAAATTGCACATCGTGTTAGACAAGTAAATCATCAGGATATATGAAGGAGAAGAACCATTCAAAGGCTGAGGCAAATCCACTGCAACAAAGGTTCAGCAGAAAGGGCATACAAAAAAGGCTGTTTCATTTGGAGATAACTAGGGGATTTTCACATTCATGCATCTTCATCTCAGTTTCTCAACGTGGTTATCTGACAACTTACACAACACACTCTTCCAAGATGTTTAATGCTAAAATCCCTCTAACTGTATCTTCCTATTCCTTCTACCTTTCTCCTACTATATCTTTCATTTAGTCTCAGCATGGCTTTCAATCTCCCTCTATCTTCACAATCCATCAACTCCCATCAAGTGAATCTTGGGCTTTATCACAGGCTACTTTCACTAACACCTTCAATTTCTTCAATCCTGCCCAATTACTCCCTTCCCCCAGCCATCATTTTACTATGATTAATATATATTTTCCACTATTCTTCTGTGAATCCAACAAGCTCGAGATTGTTGCAGCTGAGACATCAAGTATGTTTTAGTAAATAAGGTAGGTAAAGTAGCACATAAAGAGACAGCAAACTGTACTACCAAAAGTCCTGATAAATTTTCCACTGGGCCCAGTAAGGAAAAGTTCTAAGGTTTTCATTTTCAGTAACTTACAAGATAAAAAGTTCCCCCACACTTTATTAAAAGAAGAAACCATAGCTTAAGTCTCCTGGCAGCTATAAAATTAGAAAATAATAAACGATTATGATAACCTCTCACTTCTCAGCCTTTTGGCTAAAATCAAGTGTAGATTATGATAACCTAGTAATCACACCATGAGTTCAAAGGGATTCATGTATTGGTTTAAAATTAAAAGTAATAAAAATAGTAATTTAGTGAGAAAAAGAGTTCTTACTAGGTTCTATACAATCATAAAGACTGAGGAAACAGAAAGAAAGATTTAAATTTTTTATCTGCAGTCTTCATCTTTCTATGAGGGCAGTACTCAACTTTTTAAAGCCATACTGAAATAGCACTGGTAGCTTCATTTCAATGTCTGTCTCTATCTCTCTGTTTTGTTTTTGTTATTTTTATGGCACAGAGGGATGGAACCCAGAGCCTCAAGCAAGGTAGGTAAGTGTTCTACCACTGGGCTACATCTTTAAAATTTTGAGACAGGGTCTGGCTATGTTATTCAGGCTGAGCTTTGGTTAATGGCAGAGGCCCTGTGGCCAGTTAACTGCACTATAATCATATATCTAGTTAAACTGTCACCAACTGAATAGTTGATTGAGCAAGATATAGCTAGTTAAGTGGTTTTCTATGTCTCACTGCTGTTTTGTTATAAACATATCTAATCATACTGTTGGCTGGACTTTTCATAACCTACTCTGCATCTTGGAGCTGCCTGGTTCACGAATCAATTTTGTTTAGCTCTACTCAAATTCTACTACATTTACTTCATCTAAGAACTTTTTCTTTTATAATAACATTTAAACTATTAATTTGATAGTTTACAAAATGCTTTTCAAACCCATTACCTCAAAAATAAGTACTCAAAAAGACCCCCAAAATCCAAGACAAATACTCTATAAAAAAAGCCAATAAATAGGAATTATGTTTAACACAAAAGAATACACTCAAATTCTGTCAAGCAAACCAGAAACCTAGAAGTCACTGTTCCTTCAAGTTACATATTTACAACAGTGACTCATTTGTGAAGATAGAAAGAATTAAATAAGTGGCACGAAGCTAAGGCTCTAGCGGTGCCTTTACAAGAAATTTATAAATGTGAAGAGCACACTCAAGGTGTGGTGGTACACACTTATAATCCCAGCACCCAAGCAGCTGAGGCAGAAGGATCACCATGTGTTCAATGCTGGCCTGAACTACACAGTGACACCCTGTCTCAAAAAAACCAAAAAAACCCCAAAACAACAACAAAAAGTCCAACCAACAAACGAAAAGAGTAGAAAGGACTTCATCAAGTATTACAAGAAAATGACTTGCAAAAAACCAAACATGGACCAACACAATACTACAATGGAATCTTTCATGAGCATATAAAATTTTTTTTTTTTTTTTTTTTTCCTTTCTGGTACCAGGAATCGAACTCACGACCTTGCACTTGCCAGGCAGGCACTGTGCTGCTGAGCTAAATCTCTAGCCCCAAGCATATAAAATTTTATCATATTCCCAATGCAAAGACATGGGTTTATTTATATCAAAGAGAAGTTAAGCAAAAAATATTAAAACAAAAGGAAAAAACTTCAGAAATTCAAGAAAATACCTATTAAACATTCTGGTTCTAACCAGTTTACAGATATGTTTATATAGTTTTTAAAACTTTTTTTTTTTTTTTTTTGAGACAAGGTCTCACTATGCAGTTCAGGATGGCACAAATCTCTACCCATTCTAATGAAGTCCCAGAAGATACCATACCTACTGGCTTTCACACATGTGAAAAGGTCCCAAACCAGATTTCCTAGAGAAGTAACTCTAGGATTCAGAACTACCTGCCTTTCAAGGTGTCAATACATTCCCTTTCCTCAAGCTGAAGAAAGTTATGAGCAATTTCATCATCTATGCCTATTCTAAAATACCCGCAGTCAGATAAACTTAGCCTTCACTCTTTCATAAATATTTCCCTTTTTACCTAGGGGCTGGGAATATAGCTCAGTGGCACAAGCGCCTGTCTAGCAAGTGCAAGGTCCTAAGTTCAATTCCTGGTACCAAAAAAAAAAAGAAAAGGAAAAAAAAGAGAAAAGAAAAAATATACCTTGACTCTTGAATTTTTTGAGAATCATTTATTTTTACAGCAATCTGAACCTGAAGTTTTAATGAATCTGTATTAATTACACCATATACCTTTTTGCATTCTGTGGTAAGCAATCAATGAACTCTTACCTTGTTTCATCCTTGGATCTAGAGCCATCATCACTCTGTGAAGCACCTTTAATAGCAATGAAATTTAAACAGAAAATGAGTTTCAAAATAGTCAACATTTTTATATATATGCCATGTAAGATATTAAATCTTTCTGATAAAGAACATACTATAACTTAAAATTGAACATGAGTTTAAAGACAAAACAAGATAAATGTTCATGACTGAAATAAGTTTTACCAGAATTTTATGCAAATACCTATCACTATGTGTCAGAGATGTAAATTAGTTATGATATACTACTCAGGTACTACTCTGCCTCTTTTGAAATGTATGTTTGACTCTGATGCACACTTAGTGTTTAGCCAAATTTTATATGCTAAATACAGTACCTCAAGAGAAGTACTGATCACCTGCAGATTCTGTAAACAGAAAAACCAGTAACACCTCTTTCTTACACAGAAGCCTAGAAAAAAACTTACAAAACAGGAATCACACAAATAAATCTCAAAGCAACCAAGACAAATGCCACAATGTTCATGTTTTCTTCTAATTTTATTCATAGAAAATACCCCTAGGATTCTGCAAGGATTTGTATACTACAGGTATTACAGGGAGGCTGCTAGAGTTATGCACAATAATAGCCACAAAAAGAGATTGTGGCCTCATTCAGTGGCATAGGCTGAGTGAGTCAAGAGAGAGGATCGTAACTTGCTGGCTAGCCTGGACAACTTAAACAGACTCCATCTCGAGATAAATTTTATAAAGACTGGGGATGTAAAAAAAAAAAAAAAAAAAGGTCTGGGGATGTAGCTCAGTGTAAGCCTTTGCCCAGCATTTGCAAGGCTTTGGGTTCTAACTATCACCACCAAAGTAGAGAGAGAGAGGAATACCAAACCAAAACACCCAGAACTTCAGATTCAACAGTCTAGTTCCTTTTAGTAAAGGAACAATACATCCTGAATATAGTCATGGTTTCATAGCAATATGACCAGTATATTACATCTGGTTTCAAAACAGTATGATCACTATATTACATCTGCAGCATATTAATGGATTAATCCATTAAAAAATGTGAGTCATATGCATACTATGTTATGTACACAATACTTAACACGTTTGGCATGTATCTGATCCAATCTCAAATTTACATTTTATACAAGGAAATGGATAGAAAAATGTGGTATAGCTACGAAATACAAAACTCTTCTGTAACAAGAAAGAACAAACTATCAAAAAAAAATTATTGGGTGAGGTGGTGCATGCCTATAATCCCAGCACTTGGGAGGCTGAGGCAGAAGATCGTTGCGAGTTCAAGACCAGCCTGGGCTACAAAGTGAGCTCAAGGCCAGCCTGGACTGCACAGCAAAACCCTGTCTCAAAAAGACAAAAAAAAAAAAAAAAAAAAAGAATGAGTACTTTAAAAGTCAATTCATTTTTCATAGGGCCAATGGTTAAACTTTTTGTTGTTGTTGGTTTTTTTTTTTTTTTTTGGCTTGTTTGAGACACGGTCTCGCTATGCAGTTCAGGCTGGCCTTGAGCTCACTTTGTAGGCCAGTCTGGCCTCAAACATGCAATGATCCTCCTGCTTTAGCCTACCAGGCTCTGGGATTATAGGAGTGTGCCACTATGTCCAGCTCTGCTGTTGTTCTTTTTGAGACAGGGTTTCACTATGCAGTTCAGACTGGCTTCAAATTCACAATGTCCCACCTGCCCCAGTCTCCCCAGTGTTGGGATTACAGGCACGCACCACTACATCCAGCTGACAGCTGATTCAACTTTTACTTCATTACTTTTCAATTTCTAGAAAAATAACATTTTTTATGAGTAGAACAATATAATAAAATGTTAGCTGGGTGTGGTGGTGCATGCCTGTAACCCCAGCACTTGAGAGGCTGAGGCAGGAGGATCATTGAGTTCGAGACCAGCTGGGCTACAAAGTGAGCTCAAGGCCAGACTGAACTGCATAGTGAGACCTTATCTCAAAAAGACAAAAATAAGTAAATATATACATATATATATAATAAAATGTTTAAGGTGATCAGTGTCTGTTTTTCAATAAGAAAATAAAATTGTTTTTCTTTTCTGAAAAGGAACAGCAATAATCATATAGAGAATATTACAGTGGCTGTTTTGTGTCAGATGAGTCATGGAAGAGCTTAAAAGTGACCACTCACTTTCTGAACACGTGGTTTCCCCATTAGTCACAATTTCTGCCTCTAACTGCAGCCCGTCAAGACAGACTGACAAGTCTCCTATTGTTTCTGTTGGCTCTTTGTCACCTATAAGCTGCAAAGTCACAACCACTTCTTCAACTGAAAGAAATTAACATTACAAGAAAAAGTAGTCACATTTTTTTTAATCCACAATAACTTAACCTAATGTCAAGAAAAAATAACATATGCATATATAAATTAGAAATTGGTTTGCTGTACTTCACCCAAAGTTTGAGGTCTTTTGACATCAAAATATTGAATTTTAACAAGAAAACAAAGTCCCCTTAATGTATAGTATTAAATAGCTCAATCATTTCAATTCTTATATTAATTGCACCTTTATAAGGTTGCAGTATAATATGAAACAGTAGGACAACAAAGATTCCTTGGCATATATATCTGGATTATATCAAATAAAAATTTAAGAATGGATTTTATCTCATGAGCCTAAATGAGAAAGAAAATTCTTAGAAGCACAGTTGAAGGATACAAAAAAACATCTACACTTTAGAGTTTTATACATAAATTAAAATGAATGAGCTAGAAGTGTTGTAAATATAAATAAAACTACATCCCTATCAAACTAGAAGATTCAGTAAAAATAAACATTTGAAATAACAAAATAAAGACTACCTATACCTTTCACCTCCTCTGTCAAAATAAGAATCGCATTTGTCTCTCAAGTGACTGCTTTTTTCCTTTACCTCTGCTCTAAATTTTTTAGGTTTTCCGTAATTGACCATATTTACTAAAAACGCTAGGTCCAAACTAAATAGTCAAAACAAGGTTACTCAAAATGCTTCAAAGAGTTAAGATTCTTCTCCTTCTTAATCCAATAACCAGATAAATTTAAATTTAGGCAAATAGTGAACATGAATCATTCTGCATGCTCAGTATATTAATGTTGTCCAAAAGAACAAAGAGCAGGCCTGGGGATGTGGGTCAGTGGCAGAACACTTGCCTTGCATGCACAAGGCCTTGGGTTCAATCCCCAGCACCACACACACACACACACACACACACACAAAGCCAAAAGAACTAAACAAAAAAACCAAAGAGCTAAGCACAATTTCTATTACTCTTACATACATACGTTTCATATTGTTGGACTTTAATGTTTCATAAACATCTAATGCAGCAGTTCCCAACAAAACATCAGATTTCAGTGTCTGGTGACTCCACACACGAAAATATAGTCTACTCACAGGGGTAACGATACTAAAAGTGAAAAAAGAAGAAAAACTTGAATTTGTATGAATATATAAACTATTTGATTCAAAGAGTAGAAAAATAGAAGCCCTAAATAATCTACCATAGTCCTACAGTTCAATTCTGTAAAGACAAATTCCCAAAATGTATGAATCTATCAATACATTATTCTCTCCAAAATGTGATCTAATTTTGAGAGGCAAAGAAACATTTTTCCCTTGAGAAGTCTACCTATCCCTGTTTTTGTTTTTTTTGTTTTATGGTACCGGGAATCAAACTCATAACCTCACGCTTGCTAGGCAGGTGATTGCACCACTGAGCTATATCCCTGGCCCTACCTATCCCTGTTATTGCCATCATATTTCCACCTCCATTTTAAGTGATATACAATGTATTCATTGTCTTCAAAGGGGTACAGTGTATTCTTTCTCTTCTTTTCAAAATTCTCAAATGCTACTTTCAAGAGAGCTTAATAGTATATATTCAGAAAGCATTGGCCGGGTGTGATGGTGCACTCAAGAGGCTGAGGCAGGAGGATGGATTCAAGTTCAGGGCCAACTTTGGCTACAAAGTAAGTTCAAGCCAACCTGAACTGCACAGCAAAACCATGTCTCAAAATGACCAGGAAAAAAAAGAAAAAGAAAAAGAAGAAGAAAAAGAAAAAAAGAGAAAGAAAAAAAGGCATTGTCTGTAAGCCAACAAGCAAATCACAACAAGAATGAAATAAAGGGCAACCAGACCCGGGCGTGGTGGCACACGGCTATAATCCCAGAACTCGGGAGGCTGAGGCAGGAGGATGGTTGCATGTTAGAGGCCAGCCTGGGCTACAAAGTGAGCTCAAGGTCAGCCTGAACTGCATAGTGAGACCCTGTCTCAAAAAGACAAAAAAACAAAAAAAAGAGAAAGGGCCAATACATTTAACTTTCTTCATCCATACTAGGAATTGAACCAACGAATTACTTAGCTGAGTCACAATTTTCTCAGAATTTTATTTTGGAACAAGAACTCACTAAACCGCACGTTAGGGCCAGGGATACAGCTCAGCAGTACAGCACCTGCCTGGCAAACGTGAGGTCATGAACTCGATTACTGGTACCAAAAAAAAAAAAAAAAAAAGAAAGAAAGAAAAAAGAGGGGGCAGGGGATTTAGCTCAGCGGCACAGCGCCTGCCTGGCAAGTGCAAGGTCGTGAGTTCGATTCCTGATACCGGAAGAAAAAAGAAAAAAGAAAAAAGAAAGAAGAAAGAAAAACTAAATTGCCCATGTTGGCATCAAACTTAGGATCCTTGTACCTCAGCCTCCCAAATATCTGAATTTACAAGCATGTACCACCACACCTGATTTACTTTTATAATATGAGAGAAGGCATATAAAGAATAGTGTCAAAGATGGTTGGATCTAAATTATTTCACTTGAATTCTAAAGACCAATATAGATAGCCAGCTACACAGAAATGAAGCCATGTTTTTTTAAAAAAGGCTTTTTTGCAGCCCTATGTGCAATACTTAAACTTTAGGAGAGAAAAAACAAATCGTTAGATAAACTTGAGCTGTAAGTTCCCTCAAACAGCTCGACACAGCAATAGTACTACTGCATAGGGCTATAAAGAGAGTTTCCTTTTTTAACTAGTGAAGCACTAAGGCATTCATGGCATTAATAGCCTCAGAGTTTCATAGTACATATCTAGTGAGCACTGCTAGCAGCTCCAAAGAGATGCATATTGAATCTGTTATTCAAGCGAGGGGCCAGGGATACAGCTCAGTGGCACACACAGCGCCTGCCTGGCAAGCGTGGGGTCGTTTGATTCCCGGTACAAAAAAAAAATCTATTATTTGGGTGAATGTCTCTGGCCATTAAGGAAGCTTTACCTTTTTATAATTTCACTTGTTGTTAAAAAAAGTTTTATATGCTCTTTAATTTAGACTCAATCTACAGTGAGCCACAAATTAAAAACAAAAAGCCTAAGAAACAATTATGTTGCAGTAAACACAGATGACAAGCATCAGAATAATTTTCAAATGGGCCTCAAGTGCTTAAGTCTGATTAATTTGCTCAAAAATCATCATTAGTGAAAAAAAATTATCTTCTAAAATCTATCTGTTGCCCGGTATGGTGGCACACGCCTGTAATCCCAGCACTTGGGGGGTGCGGCTGAGGCAGGAGGATCGTTGCGAGTTCAAGGCCAGCCTGGGAAACAAAGTGAGCTCAAGACCAGCTTGAACTGCATAGCGAGACCCTGTCTCAAATGAAATAAAATAAAATAAAATAAAATAAAATAAAATCCATCTGCTGATAAATTATGCTTTTCTTTTTAACTTAATTTTAAAAATTAACCACTTACCAATTCAGTTATTTAAATACAGGATGACCAAATATTGCAAATTTTTTGTTAATTTTTATAATACAACAGGCAATAAATAAATGATAATTTTATTCAATTTAGTCAATGCAAGAATCTACTGGTTGAAATAACACCTGCCAAGTAATGCTCAAGAGACTCAGTACATAAACATGCTGTCCAAGTGATGCTTCAGATAAAATGTCAAGTGGTTAGAATTAACCTTTAATTCCCTTCAATGAGTATTTAATATCTTAGGTTATAATATCAACATTTGGGCTTTGTCAATAAGTAATTGAAACTGAGCCTGCTTTTATAAAATTCTATGAATTCACACTACCAATAAAAATACCAACATATAGGGACCAGGGATACAGCTCAGTGGTGCAGCGGCTGCTGGGCAAGTGCGAGGTCCTGAGTTTGATTCCAGTACCAAAAAAAAAAACAAAAAACATATAAAGATATGTGGGCATGGATGTATATTACACTAGTCTAGTAGCATAACATCACGAAATACTAGAAACCAGTATGGCATGGTAGCACATGGCTATAATCCCAGCTACCTGGGAGGCTGAGGCAGAACAAACTCAAGTTCAAGGCCAACCTGGGCAATTTAAGTAGACTGTCTCAAAAAATTTTTTTAAAAAGGACTGGGGATGTATCTCAACGGTCCCTGTGCTCAATTCCCAGTACTGCAAAAACATCTACCTCCCTATTTCTTTTTAGATCAAAAAGTACCTGGCTGCAGTGGCATGCCTAGAATTCCAACTATCAGAAGGATCACAACTTTGAGGGTAGCCTAGAGGACTTGGGACGACTCTGTTTCAAAATAGAGGCCTGTGATACAGCTAGCTCAGTGTCAGAGTGCCCCTGAGTTTGATCCACACTGCTGTAAAAAACACAGAGCGAAGGAGGGAGGGCAAAAGAAACTAATATCAGACCTATATGTACTCAGTAGATAATCATGATACAACTGTCAAGATAAAGACAAAGTTATAGAATAAATATATAAATTTTTTTTAAATCGAAGGTAACATGTTGGGTTGTAGGGGCATTACAATTTAAAAACACAAAAAACTTTTTTTTTTTTTTAGACAAGGTCTTGCTATGCAGTTCAGGCTGGCCTTGAGTTCACTATGTAGTCTAGGCTGACCTCAAACTTGTAGTGATCCTCCTGCCTCTGCCTCTTGAGTTCTGGGATTATTAAATTAAAAAATAAAGTAAGCTATTCACAACCCCAAGTTAAGAAAAGGGTTGCTCTAAATCTTTTTAGGGCCATGACCATATGCCCTCCAGTTATTCAGTAGATTCAATCACAAACTAAACTGGGAAGGGTAACAAAAGAGACACCTGAAATACAGCAAGGAAAACATCTAAAGAGAAACAGAAGATCAGAGAAGAGTTCCAGGAAGTGGGGGGAAAGTGAAAGAGAAAAAGGAGAAGCAAAGTAACGTGCATTAAAGGTACAATTCTGCTCATCTATTAAACAAAATATTATTCTGGAAATATTATCAAACTTACACTGTAAGTGGCTGCTTCCATTTGGGGCTACTCGTATTATTGCATTTTTCTGTCTTCTTTGACTGTCCATCTACTGTCACTTCCACATAAGGACTTGGTCCAAACCAATTCTTTTTATTTTCTTTAAGTTTTGCTGAGATGACTATGTAAAAGAAAAACACACACACACATTCCAATATTTGAGATGTTAAGTCCTTGAATCAATTTAATTTCCAAATGCTCACACATATTTTTACTGAGAAGCAGGTATGCCTAACGTATTTCCCAATTTTACTCATTTATTATTTATTCACTCATTATGTTGATCTTTAGTTACTAGGTTAGGAGGAAATATAAACACAGGACTTCCTTAAGCCATACACCCAGATCAAAAGATTCCCACAGTCAGTATCAACAGACCCAGAACTCAGGTATGTTAAAAAGTACATGGACAAACTGGGTCAACCAATACTGTCATGTGTCAGACACTGCTCCAAGCTCTGTGAACACATCATAACAGTATATAAATGGCCCTGGCCTTCAAGATCATATTCTAGGTAGAGAACAGTCCTTGTGATGAAAGCAGGCTGATGTGACAAAATATTACTTATTAATAAGAAAAATCTCTGAGGAAGAACTTTTCTTCCCCTCCTCTCACCTCTAAAGTGACACTGATCAGGTCCTCTTAAAGGATAACTGTCTTAGATTTAGTTTATTTTACTCAACATGACATTTTTGGGAACAGTTGCTTGTAATCTTTTTTTCTATACAACTCTATTCTTTTTTATTAGTACATATTAGTAATACAAAATGAGATTGGCACATGTATTGGCACATGTATATAATTTTTAAAAGTTATTTTCATCTCCATTATCACTCTACCCTCACCCATCCCCTAAAGTCTGTATTTTAGTTTCCTGTCATCACTTTTTTTTTAAGATTGCTGGTATTAGAGAAAATGTGAGGCTTAACTTTCTTAGTCAGTTTATTTTGTATAACATGATGGGTCTCCAATCCCATTCCTTTTCCTGCAAATAACATGCTTCTTTGTGACTGAATAATACTCCATTGTGTAAATATAAATCACATTTTAATCCACTCATTATGTTGACCTCTCTTTGTGTATGTACATCACATTTTGTTTATCCACATCTAGACTGTCTGCAGTTTAGTTCTTGTCAATTGTGCTGCAACTGAAACATGGGTATGCATGTACCACTACAGTATACTGTCTTTAATTCTTACGGGAAGTTACCAAGGAATGGTACAGCTGGATCAAACCATATTTTTATTTTCAGTTCTCTAAGGAATCTCCATACAATTTGCACAGCGGTTATACTAGTATACATTGCCACCAAGAGTGTAGAAGGTTTCCTTTCTCCCTGCATCCTTGTCAGCGTTTGCTGTTCTGGTATTTTTAAAAACTTTTTTATTAGTATATATTTGTTATACACATTGTGTACATTCATCTTAGGAAATCAGTACCTGTACATAATATGTCTTGATTTTTTTTTTTTTTTTTTTTTTTTTTTTTTGAGACAGGGTCTCGCTCTGCAGTTCAGGCTGGCCTTGAGCTCACTTTGTAGCCCAGGCTGATCTCAAACTTGCAATGATCCTCCTGTCTCAGCCTCCCGAGTGCTGGGATTACAGGCGTGTGCCACCATGCCCGGCTTATGTCTTGATTCTTTTTTCCCATTCTTTCTCTCCCTTTAACCTTTCTTCCTCTCCCATTTAGAAAAGCTTTGTTTCCATTTTTTCTTCCTTTCTTTCATTTTTTCTTTTCCCTTCCTTCCTTTCCCTTTGTCCCCTCCCTGTCCCCTTTGCATTTGAACATGTTCTTCCTACTTCCCACTATTACCCTCCATTTTGGTCCTTACTTATCCTTTGGATTTCTTACATGAGAAAAACAATGCAATATTTAAACTTGTGTGTTTGATTTCATTAAAAACTAGGGACTAGAGGTCCCTTTACATACAAATGACTCAATTTTATCCTACTTTACAGCAGAGTAGTACTCCATTATACATGAATACTATAATTTCTTTACTCATTTATCTGTTGATAGGCATATGCACTGTTTCAAAGGTTTAGTACTATACATTGTGCTGCTATAAATATGGATATGCATAGTCACTGTGGTATGATACTTTTAACTCTTTAGGAAGGATACCTAGAAGGGTCTAACTGGGTCAAATGGAAACCTCTAGTTTTAGTTTTTTGAAGAATCTCCATCCTGATTCCATAATGGTTGTGACAACTCACATTCCTCCCAATAATGAAGAATGGTTAATTTTTTTCCACCTCCTTGCCAGGATTTATTACTGGTTGATTTCTTGATGGCAGCCATTCTTTCTGAAGTGAGATGGAATCTCAGTATCATTTTAATCTGCCTTTCTTCAATGACTAGGGATGTTGCACATTTTTTCATATATTTATTTCCTGTTTGTACTTCCTCATCTGAGAAGTATCTTCATTTTGAGTGCCCACTTTTTGACTGGTCTTTATATTTGGGGGGTGTCTTTATATTTTCTAGATATTAGTCCTTTGTCTGAGCAAGACTTGGCAAATATTGTTTTCCACACTGAGTTATCTCTTTACTCTGACGGTTTTTTTTAACTCTGCAAAAGCTTTTTAATTTGATGCCATCCCACGTGTTGATTCTTTGTAATATTTCCTGTGTGAAGCCGGATGTGGTGATACATGCTTATAAGCCTAGCACTAGGGAAGAGGGAAGCAAGAGGATAGCTTTGAGTATGAGGCCAGCCTCAGCTACTTAGTTGAGTTCAAGGCCAGCCTAAACTACATAGCAAGGCCCTGTTTAAAAAAAAAAATGCTCCTCTGCAATTGGGGTTATGCTCATAAAGTCTTTTCCTACACCTACGTACTGTTTCCGTTTTAACATTTACATCTCTGATCCATTTCAATTTTAGTTTAGTGTGGGGTGAGGGATACAAGTCTAAATTAAATCTTCACATGTGCAAAGCCAATCTTCCCAGCACCATTTATTAAAGAGGCTATCTTCCTTGCAATTTAGGTATTTGGCCCCTTTTTCAAAGATAAGGCAAAGGAGAGTGTTTAGTCTTTCTTTCTTTTTTTCCGTGTTCTATTCTGTCCAACTGAACCTCAGGTCTGTATTTTTCCCAGTACAGGGTGGTTTTTATCACTGTGCCTTTATACTATAACGCCAAATCAGGGATTGACATTTCTGCTGCCTTGCCTTGTTACCCAGAATACTGTAAGTCTCTTCTGGTTCCATACCAATTTTAGCATTGCTTTCTCAAATGCTGAGAGGTTTCTTACTGTATTACTATTTTGATTGGGATTGAATTAAGCCTGTACAACAGTTTTGGAAGTATGGTCATTTTCATTCTATTGGTTATGCCTATCCATGAAGAATATCTTTCTATTTTCTGATATCCTCTTCCATGTCCTTTTTCAGAGTACTATAGTTTTCACTGCAGAGGGCTTTCACTTTCGTGGTTAGGTTAATGACTAAGTATTTTGCTTTTCTTAATGCTATTGTGAAAAGGAAAATTCCCCAATTTCTCAGTGAGTTTTTTGTTCATGTACTGAAATGCTATCAATTTTAAAGTGCTGACTTTGTAATCTGCTCCAGTGCCAAATTTGGTTATTAATTCTAGGAGTCTTTTGGTGGAATTTTTGGGGTCTTTTATGTAGAGTATCATGGTATCAGCAAATAATAATTTATGTTCATCCTTTCCTGTCCAGATTCCATTTATTGCTTTCTCTTGTCTAACTGCTCTGGTTAATGTTTCATGAACTATATGGAACATTAGCAGTTATAGTGGGCATTCCTGTCTTGTGATTTTAGAGTAAAAGCTTTCAGTTTTTGACCATTTAGTTGGCTTCTGGTTTGTCATAGGTGGCTTTTATCAGATTGATATAAAAAATCTCCAGTTGTGTGTGGTGGCATACACCTGTAATCCCAGCACTCTGGGAGGCTAGGACAGGAGGACTGTCATGAGTTCAAGGTCACCCCGGCTCCGCAGTAGATTCAAGGCCAGCCTGAACTGCATAGTGAGACTCTGCCCTTTTAAAAAAAAAAGAAAAAGGGCCAGGTGTGGTGGTGCACTCCTGTAATCCCAGCACTCGGGAGGCTGAGGCAGGAGGAACAAAGTGAGCTCAAGGCCAGCCTGAACTACAAAGTGAGACCCTGTCTCAAAAAGACCAAAAAACAAAAAAAAAACCAAAAAACAAAAAAACCCAAAAACCTAATTTTCTGTAGGGTTTTTGATCATAAATGGGTATTGCACTTTGTCAAATGATTTTTCTGCATCTTTTGAGATGAATGTGTGGTTTTTGTCCTTGATTCTGTTTACGTGGTGTATTACACTTATTGATTTGCATATACTGCACCATCTCTGTATTCCTGGGAAGACTCCTTCTTCATCACGGTATATAATCTTTTTGGATGATTTGCTGTGTTCTGTTTGCCATGACCTACTGAGGATTTCTGCATGTGTTTATTAAAGAGACTGGGGTGTAGCTCTCTTTCTGGTTGGATCTTTCTCTGATTTTCATATCAGGGTTTTGGGAACATTGCTTCCTTTTAATTTCATCAGAGTTTGAGTAGTAGCATCAGATTTTCTCTAAAGTTCTTCTAGAATTTAGTGGTAAGTCAGGGGTGTGGCTTTTCTTTGTTAGTAGTTTTTAAAATTACTTCTTCAAAAAAAATTACTTCTTCAATTTCATTGATTTAGAATTTTTGTATCAAGCTAGGAGTATAGTTCGGTGTAGTGCCTGCCTGGCTGGCACAAGGTCCTGAATTTGATTCTTGGTATTCAAGGTCCTGAATTTTTTGCTGGTACCCACCAAAAAAACAAAACAAAACAAAAACAGAATTGCTCTATCTTCTTCTTCTTTTTTTTGTTTTTTTGTTTTTTTTCTGGTACCAGGAATCAAACTCACGACCTTGCACATGCCAGGCAGGCGCTGTGCCGCTGAGCTAAATCCCCAGCCCCTGCTGTATCTTCTTGATTCAACTTTGGTACTTCATATTTATCTAAGATTCTGTCCATTTCCTCTGTGTTTTTCACCTTATTGGAGTACAGTTCTCAAAGAAGGTATTGATGCTCTTCTGGATTTTTTGCAGGGTCTGGTGTGATTTTGCCCTTTTCATTCCTAATCATATGGATTTGGATC